AGACTAGATAAAGAGAATTTATTAAAGAGTTTCTTTATAATTTAATAATTAATAATCTCTATTTTCTCTCTAGCCCGTAGACAGGTTATTTATTAAGTTATCTTATAAATAGTAATATAAAGTAATTTAAATTATAAGTAGCAGTATACTAATTAATATAAAGATTAGAATAAATATTATTTAGATAATTAATCTTTTGCTTATTAATAAATATCTTTATAAGATAAAAGAAATATAAGTAAAAGAATAGATATATTAATATTTAAAATAAATTACTTATTTTTCTTTAATAATAATTCTTCTGACTATTATATATAGCAGAACCCTTTAATTAGATATTAGTTATATATCTATCTGCAAGTTGACTCTTATCCGCTTTTACCAAGCCAAACCAATAATCTCTGTTCCTGGCCGTGACACTGTGGCTGACTCAACTTCCACAGTTTCGTCATGTAAACTGCCTGAGGCCGCACCTAGCACTAGACCTGCACTGAATATACCACTTTCCTATTATTTAAAGAATTATGAGTACATAAAGCCACAGGTAGCTAGATAATAGAATAGAACAAGTTCCCATTTTGACTTTGACATTAAGCCCTATAAGTAGTGTTGGATTGGGGCGGATTGGTTTCTATAGTTTCAAACTGATCTGACTGAAATTCTAAGAAAAACTGATCTAAAAAATGATCTATTAGGGCACTGATCTAACCTTAACTAACCTAGTCTATCTATATAGTTAGATTAGGGTGGATCAGTTTCTATATTTTCAAACTGATCTGACTGAAATTCTAGGGAAAACTGACCCAATAAACTAATCCATTGGGGCACTGATCCAACACAAACTGATCCAGTCCAACACTACCTACAAGGGGAGCTGCTGGCGTGACTAACCAAGCCTGTGGCATCTTAGGTCATCACAGTTCCTGCTGTTACCTGATCTGTAGGGCTGTATTAATATTATCTTTCTTTATCTGTGCTCTGAGCCTCTGACCCTGTGATCATGATAATTGTTATCCTCCCTGTGAGATGAATGTATACCATTTTCCCATATGGATTTGCATGCTTTGGAGGTGTTGTAATATTTAGTTTAGAAAAGACTGTGCGGCCTAGCAGCACTTTACAGATGGATTATTGCTTTAGGCAGGGAAAAGTGTTATGTTTACTACTACTATACTTCTGATTAGTCAAGGACTATGTTGAGCAGTGAATAAGCCTGGTCTGGTGATAGATCAGAGCAATTTTATAAGTCCTCTTCTAGCTGTAGTCCTTTTCCCTTTCTTCTGCAATCCACACAGCTTAAAATCAAGTCATACCACAGGTCTGTATCCAGCTGTTGTTGAAACTGATGAATATCTGGACTGTCTCCTGGATGTGCCCGAGCGTGAATGGGCGCACTGCATTATATTATGTATGCTAACTCAATCAACAGGCAGGAGTTGGATGTATGCCACTAACATGAACAGCAATAATTTCTTGAAGTGGGCACCCATCCTTACATGTGCAATCCTAGATGCCTGTGATTCTTAAGTGTGTTGCGGAATGAGCAATATGAGCAACAAACGCACTCAAACATTTCTGAAATCCCTGCTTGGATCAGGTGTCCCACGTGTATAGTGTCTGGAGCTAGAGCCTGTCCAGTCATCTGATACGAAGGGATATTCTGCTTTTTATACAAAGGTATTCGTCATCCAAGAGCCCTACACTCCTCACAGAGTCACGCTCACCACTATCATAGGTCGGGATAATTACCTACTGTTTCGACAATCCAAGCCCCGTACTCCTCTTTCTGGTCGGGCACTGACATGACCTTCTCTAATCGCGGGAGAAGCGTTCCCTAAATTGCCGAGCCCTCCCGGCCATCCTACCTGATCATCTCCGCATGGGCTCCATACAAAAGTACTCGCAGGAGAGCCCCTCTATGCCGTTTCATTTTCGATTCTCGCACAGGGGACTAGAAAGTAACCGGAGGGGCAAAGGTCACACTGCCATTGGGAAGTGAGTGCATTGGAGACAATCCAGCTAGTGATCAGGCTGTTGCGAAGCTGTGACGGTCTAAACATGATGTGGACAGCGTTGTAGGCTATCCTGCCTCAGTTCTGTGTGCCGCCACCCCTACGGATCACTATGGAGAAGCTGTTGTTTTTTTTCAAAATTATGAGACTGGTATAAGGATGTGAGAGGGAGAGGATCCTCCTGGGTTGCAAGAATAAAAACCGGTTTTCTGTGGCCTGAGGAGGGAGATCAGCGAGTTGATGGCTTTGGTCCCTGGTTCAAAGTAACTGATGAGTTACAACACTGTATGGTACGAGGTAAAAGCAGAAAGACGATACCTTTAGGTCTATGACTTCATGGGCCCATGGGCCTTATATAGACTCAAAGATAACATAAGACCGACTCGTGCAATTCCCAAACACCGTACTCCGTTGATCGAAAATCAAGAAACTGGTTACGGCCATATGAACTTGTTACGTACGAGGCGTCTGAAGAAAAACGAGACGGAGAGTGTCAGGATGTACATGCATAATCGGTAGGGTGGAAGAAGCTAAGAATCCAAATTATACGGTAGAGATATGGCATGACACATCAACGTTATCGTGTCTCATGTGCGGCAATGGCCATTCAATAATGGTCGACCGTATATGCCAACCCTGTGCGCTTGACGTCAAGACGAACTGAGACCTAGCCTTTTATAGAAAGATTTTTCAATGCAAGCATGGACATTGTAAATTTCAAGGGATTTATCACATCACTATTTCGTAAAAGTAGACACTAGGGTATCACATGTCGATACCAGAGATGCTGTAATACGGACAAGCCTTTCGCATTTAATTCCTATGAATTGACGCTGCATTTGTTGCGGAAAGCCATAGATAGTGAACAATCTCTACCAGTGGGCGCTGGCGTTTTTTTTAAACATTCTCCAAAACCTGCTCCTTGAACTCCCTCTCAACCTTCTGGCCCTTGTCGTCGGTCGAAGATTCGCCATGAAGGTTAAGCAGCGCACCAAGGTCGAACTTGGGGGACTTGAGGAGCTTAACCTTGCGGATGTGGACCTATAATCTGGTCAGCATAAACCCGATTTACGCGATTCTCATCAAAACGAACATTCTGCAGAGGATAGATTCCCTGGGTCGCCTTCTCAATCTCGCGACCAATACCCTCAGGGATCAGCTTCGTGGTGAGTTGAGAAAGAGAGCAGCTGGCGGCCTCGCGCTGGATGATCTCAGTCATCTTCTTCCGAATGGCGCGAATCTGAGAAGACCGTGCGTAAGTCGTCTTCTTGATCTGGTTGGGGCGTCTCTTCGTGAAGGCAATGGCGAATAGACGGAGGAGATAGTCATCGGTGGTCTTCACGGTGACATTGGCTTCGATAAGGGACTGCCATTTGCGGACAAGGGAGCGCAACTTGTCGGTCGTGAAGTCCATGCCATGGAAGTTCGTAAGGCAGTTCTTTCCCTGGACTTCATCCACGCGGAGCTTCACTTTGCGGAAAGCATGGTCTTCATCGTTCTGCAGATCGGCAAGGGAAACTTCGAAGATACGGCCCTTGAGCGAATCGTTTGCGTTCTTGAGACCAGTAGTGCGGTTCACCAAAGTTTTTCCGACACTTATATCTTGTCAGTATAGATAACGGGGAGAACAAAATATTGAAGAGTTGCAGGTCTAGACGTACTCCCTGATCTGGAAAGTCGACGGCGCCTGGGAACGGTCAGCGACACCAAAGACAGCGGGGTACAAGATAGATTATGGACTGACCTTGACAGAGTACTCATCCTTTCTGGTAAAGGGATCAACTGTTCTCTTCTTGATGCCCTTCTTGCCCTTGGACAAGCGCTTGTTTCTGATGACAGATCAGCAACGGGTATTTTTGGATTTCAAGATCACCTCGCGTGCTTGGGGTAGCTCATACTTTCCAACGGCCATTGCTGCGTATCTGGTCTATCCAATCGTGATTGAAGACAGACAAGTGTTCACGCCGCGCGGTCTGGTGGATGAGTCTGTACGGTCGGCGCTTCGTGCTGCTGGGTCGACGGGGTAAGTGGTGAAAAGAAATCCCACAAGAAAAGTTGGCTAAGCGAGCGTCGGCCCTATCACCCGATTACATAATATTACAGTCCCCACGGATGATGGAATGTATCTTGTGGTGGCGGGCGGGTCTACTAACACAATTACCCTACCAAGTATGGCTAGTACCCTCGGACTCCCCCGAGACGCCTTGTCTCTTGCTGCCTTATGACTATAACTAGAATCTGTTCCTGTAACAAATTTGTCTTCAATACCCACCAAACATGTAATATCTAATGTGCTTGACAAGTATTTAAACCTAACAATATGGGAAATTTTCGGCAGTGGTACCATTTTACCTTTCAAAACCCACTTCCTTAATTGACGGGGTTGTGCAAGTACTCCGTGCCTGCACTCCATACGAACATAGGATCAAGTCAGTAAGTATATCAGTATTCCGCACACATGAGAGCACTGGGTTAAGTACGAGTTTCTAAATCCTCCGAGGAAATGACTGTCAGAGAATATAGTCTGTCCTCTTATCAGCTACGCTAACATGTTCTGCTACCTCAAACCATGCCCAGATTGCCCAGTAGCTTTTGGCATGGTTGTTGTCACGTGTGAGTTGCACAAAATACGGAGTACGGCCAAATACCTCAAATTGAAAACTGATAGTACTCAATAATTACTCCATATCATCATCAACATTAGTATTAAGATAATCACATATTCCACACTTTTCCGTTTCGGAATACTTTGGCCTTTCACTAAACACTTTCTACCTCGTAAATACTAGAAATAGCATTAGATGCTAAGCATGGAAAGGCTAATTACTTGGAGAGGCAAGAAGCTGGAACTTAGTTATGTAAACCGCCTACCTACCTGGGGTCTACCTAACTTTACGCTGTTCAACCTACTCCAATACTGCCATAGCACCCATACCCCGATTAGGTCCGGACAAATCAGCACATCCTTTTTTTTTTTGTGACCACCATCTTGATCATAGTTGCCTTAGTAGCTGACTTCCAAGACATCTATCTTAGTGTCAAGTAGGTTGATGCCCGAACCCAGTCTTTAAACTGTTCTTCCCAACCCTGACCACGCAGGTACAGGTCTTGAAAGCTCATACAAAAACTTATACGTCCAAATCGGAACCTTAGCTGTGCCACCTGGATCTTATCTGCACAGATATCTTATTATTCTGCGAGTTCTGAAGCATGGTAGGCCTCCTATCTTGAACTAAGCTATGCTGTTTGATCAATAATTGTTCTGCCGACAGGGAAAGCGAAAGAAGTCAAGCCGACAGCCGCAGCAGACGAGAAAGGTGGAAACCCCCAAAAGATGATTCATTGCTTATACTCATTTCAAATTACAGAAAGAACCCCTTCCTACAACATTTGCCTGCCTCTTTTGCAACCACGAGAATTCTATTGTGGTGAAATTGGACAAGAAGTTGGGCCTAGGAAATCTGTCTTGCAAGGTGTGCGGACAGCGGTTTCAAACAGGAATCAACTGTAAGCCAATCATCATCATCATCATCGTCGTCGTCATCATTTTTGTTGCGACCATTACTGACAAGCTTGTGTCAGATCTTTCGGCGGCAGTTGATGTGTACTCGGACTGGGTGGACGCATGTGATGCAGTCGCCAAGGATACCGCAACCAAGTTCGAAGAAAGCAACCCTCGTAGTTTACGCCCGTCGGAACCGTCGCCTGGAGATGGGAACCTTGGAGGCGAAGCCCCAGAAAGATCGGATCCATACATTGGGGAATATTAGGTTGCTTGCAGTAAACCTAAAGTCCGGGCAAGATGCACGCTCTACAGGATACACTGGTGCCCCTCGATATTCATTCCAGGGACCAAACTACCCACGTACTCTGCGCGCAACTATCGACGCGAGGCAAACAGGATTCTTACGAGAATAAGTACTCTTCCAGTGTAGCGACTCTGATTAGTAAATCATAACTTGGACGATGAAGCGGTTCATTTGCACTCTTAGTTTCATCGGGTAAGGACAACTGCACCCTCCACATGGAGAGTAAATTATTGAATTGCCACCTAATTTCATAGGGTATAATACCGATCTCCGAAATCGCCAAGGCCAGGAATGATATATCTATGGGTTTTGGTGAGTGAAAAAAGACAGAAAAGTTAACACAAGGCGATACACACTTCTTGTCGTCCAAACCCTGGTCAATAAATGCAGTTACAACTCTTAACTTAGGGAATCGCTTAGCAAAATCTGCGACCCCTGACGGGCTTGCAATAAGGTTGAGAAACAGAATACGATCTTCTGGCACACCCTTTGCTTTCAGGGTCTCAACGGCTAGTGTCGCGGAGCCGCCTAAATCTATATTAGTTTGGCGTTGTTTCCTGGATCAGAAAGCATCCACTCACCGGTCGCGAACATCGGGTCAAGAAGCAAAACCCATCGCTTCGAGATATCTGCAGGTAGCTTCTCATAGAAAAGTTTTGGTTGACATGTCTCTTCATCCCTTTGTATCAAGATCTTTCCGATTCGGACAGATCGGCAACAGTCTCTTAGGCCCTGCTCCATCGCCTCCCCTGCTCTCATTATTGAAACTCCACATATTTTCCCCTCGAACTTGACGCCTAGATACGCACGGCCAACGGGTGTAGTGACAGACCGCTCCACCACTGGAAGATGGTTTAACCCTTCTTCTACTAGAAGACGAATGATCCGGTTTGAATAGAAAATAAAATCTGCCCGTACAGTTTTCTCGTCTCTGATCATACTATAAAATATGTTAGCACTGGCTAGCTGATAATATCTCGCAGGTAGTTGGATGAAAAAATGTCCCTTACGTCAGGAGAGCAATCAATTGGGGTGTTTGAGGTAGAACGTGGACGTTTTCGTAGTCCATCTCCTTGGATACAGTTGCTGTGGGTTTTTCACCATCGGGCCTGTATACAGGGCCAACACCCTGCGCTGGTGATGGTGCAGATTCCATCTCTCTGGTAGTGATTGGAGTTGTTGCCTGTTTGTTGTTTCAGTAGTAGATCTTCCAGGTCTATTGACAGTATAACATTAGTTCAAAGGTTGAAAGACACCCTTTTTATTGAGGGAAAGAAGACCTGGGTGGGGGAGGGGAACTCGTCTAGAACGTAAGTATGGGCAAATACTGCCACTGGGTAATAGGAATAATGTCTAATAACCGCACTAAATCAACCGACCACAAATACGGGCAGATATACCCTGGCAGCTGGTTTTCCCTTGGTACGTGTATTTTATGTTTTGGGTCATATACTAGATAGTAACCAGACCAAAAGAAATTACCCAGGCCACTAGGATTTTGTGGACTCTTTCGGAGTACTCCATGCATATGTCTGTATCCTGATAAATCAAAACTACATCATATGTCACAATAAATTTGGTCTTGGGAGTACCATCAGACTGACAATTCCATATTATGTATGTACCAGTAATTCATGCGTTGCCGCAGAATCACTTACGCCAGTATTTGTTCTCAAATGCAGCAAAACCCCAGTGCTACAGTGGACTTGTAGATGGCGAAATACATAGGTTGTGCAGTGTTGTATACCTGACACATATCAATATCTACATGAAAGACCCATATACAGCATCTGTTGGGAATATTAATCGGTTCCAATCCTCCCAAAGTGCTGTTCAGCATTTTGGTGCAGTGGCTGTTAGTATCCATCGGGGCTAGTGTGCACCGAGTATTGTGTGCTACGTAAGATGAGTTTCCATACATGGAATAGTGGTGATCCACTGCTGCTGGGAATCTCTACAATCTACAACAGATCGTGTAAAATAGATGTTCTCCTAGTAACTTAAGGTACTTACTAAATGGATCCATAACGTTGGTTAGTGGGTGCATCCTTCGAGTACATTGAACATTAGAGTCCACCATACACTAGGTTAAGGTAGGTAGTAGGTAGTGGGTATTCTGGTGGCCACTGGCCGGGCAAATTCCAGAACGTTTTGCTACGGAGTACAGCTTTAGAATTTATAATGGTAGTTTGAGTGTATTGATCATTTCAATGCCCCGGGCGCTGTGTCACCAACTAAAATTCCATTTTTAGAAAATCAACCAAGGGACTAACTACTCACGTACTAGTTGGTAATATTCCATTGTTGTCTTGGAAATTTAAAGTTACCTGCACCCGTGCAATATCACCTTTATCTGGCTCATGTTGCATCTGTTCAAATTCATTAGCACCCCGACAGGAGTATCAGGCCTCTAGTCTGATTACCAACCCCAAACTCTTGTATTGACATAGACACCCAAAGAGCCTAAAGCGCTGCCCAGCCATAAAGATATCAGCCGTTTAAAGATTATATTTCCTATTCGGTACATATTTGCTGATGGCCGGTTGCTCCTTAACTAGTCGATGTTATTACCCATCATCTAACTAGCTCCACAGGGTTCCCCCTATCTGCAACTCTTAATTAACGTTGACGTACATTGACTCCACGAAGTTGGTTTGGAGTTTGGGCTCTGTCATTATTGGGACAGTGGCACTCGCGGCTATTTTTGGTGCATTGCAAACTCGGCTACTACAACATCTGTCAACATGCGCCGAACATCCAGGAGACTTGTGACTTACGGTAAATCGACAAAAAGAGTTGCAGAGGAGGAGCCTATGCCGCCATCTGTTTCTGACGAGGAAGCAACTTTGGAGTCATACAACAGATCTGGTCGCTTTACCAAGCTACAGCAACCGTCAAATGACCAGCATGAAACTCTACAAGAAACACGAAACCCCAGACCTGCCCCATCAAAGCGCCATACCGGGAAACATGTAATTGGCCAAGATGGCAAAGGAGATCACGGTGCACCTGCGAAAAGGAAACGAAGCAAGCTCCTGTCTGATGAACAAGCCCATCTCTATGATAACCGATCCACGGAGGTTGCACATGATGATCATGGAGTCCAAGATTCCAAACATGAACACGATGTTGATAGCATGGAATGCCAAGAGATGTCCAGTAAAAATATTGCTGGAAGACAGAACATCGAGTACAGTTCTTCGCGAAGCCCTGTTACTGCAAGCGAAGCCCAGATTTCTATGTCACCAACCACCCCTTCTTCAAAAATGTCTCATAATGGAGCATATCTGGCTACGCACGATATCATCCAAGCACCAAGTGAGGAAGTCGATTATAGGTCTCGCTCGCCAATTATCTCTGATCCAAACCCATTGCCAAGACAAATAACACCTTCTAGAAGACGGTTGATTGATTCTCTAGGTGCAACAGAAAGCCGAGACAGTGACCATCTCCTCTCTTTGTTACCAGATGACGAGTCACGGGAAGATAACATTTTACGCCCTGATCTCACTCAAACTCGTGACCAGAATCTGCCGTTGAAAGCCCAACAATATAATACTATTTACGCGGGAGGTTCGCAAGTCTCAAGTGGCACTGTCTCGTCTAGGCTCGCGGGTTCTCGAGTAACGTACGCACGTCAACGTTCGTTCCTGAACGACGCATCTACTCCAGGAGAGACCATAGGAGATTTGAAAAGCCGGCAAGGCTTAGGCTCTTCTACAGATCTTTCTCACGATCGACCCTATCTTACTCCTGAGATCACTACACAATGCGATGAGGGAGCACAGAATGATAACATGCCTGTTCGTAGCATACACGAGCTAAGGCAAGCGGGTGAAAATGCGCGCTTTCGAGAGACCATTGATTCCATCTTCGAGGATATCGAGGACCCTTATAATCAGGTTTCCGGCAGATGCAATAGTCTCATTCTACTATGTGCAAAGCTTTCAGAGCCACAATTTGCTCGTCGTTTCTCCGAGTACGAATTTGATGGGCGACTTGTGAACTGTACCGAAGCTAGCCTTGATATAGTCTCCACATCATTGTTGCTTTGTGCTTACAGGCTAGTGTGCGTCGGTGGATCGTTTGGATTTACTCAGCTGTTGCGCTTTTGGCCAAAACTTATGGAAATCGTCCCCCATCTCTTCACTACTGCCGACGATATCCTATCAGTCTCGGCTCGTCGCTCTATCGGCCTTTCGAAGCCTGTGCAGATGTCTCTCGGGAAGTTAGTACCGCAGCTATCTTTACTGATTGGCGACGAAACATCAGCCAATTTCTCACCGCAGTTTCTAGCGCTTTCAAGTATGCATTCCGCTTTATCGTGTTTCCGAGAGAAGGGGAAGGCCATTGAGCCGATTCCTGAGTCCTTGATGAACCAGATTGTCCAGCTTCTGGTGTCCACGAGCCCGAGACACTCGGAATTTCCATTACCCTTCCAACAGTTTCGAATACTTATGCAGAGCTTCTCCGTCTTAGAAGATTACACTGCTTTGCCGGAATCGTTAGAGCATTACAACCACGGCGTTTTCGAGCCACTTCCCCAACTTCACAATTTCCTGTGCTTTGAAAAATCTGACCAAGGCCGCCAACTCCTGATCCTGTATACCCGCCTTATATTGAATATCACTAATAATGGCCCTTCTCTCTGCGATTTGTTCGCCAACGCTGAGCTGATTTCCAGGTTTGTTGAGATCGTCAATATGGAATTCCGGAGTACTCCCGAGAATCTTCTGATCAAGGAAGACAGCTTGTTGAACATTGTAATACTATCCCTAGGGGCTCTTATTAATATAACTGAGAAGAGCGAGTTGTCGAGGACAATATTTATGAAATCGAGACGTGGCTCTACGCCATTGATTCGGCTCCTTTTGGATCGGTTCTCCTCAATGGTTGACTGTGTGAACCAGGTAGGTTCTCAACATGTAAATCTAAAAGGTTGCGCTAATAAGCACACTAGGTACACTCTGTGCACGATGTCAACCACAATGTTGTTACTGGGTATTTTTCAATTCTTCTTGTGAACCTGTGTTTGAATATAGACGCGAGTGCACAGGTACAACAGTCACTGGGTGTTAAAGGACTTGATACGATTTTATCAACAGCAGAAGAGTTTTTACAGTATCACCAAAAAGTTGATCAAGAGTCACCTTCCATCGAGGCTAAGGTTGACTATGATAGTGGTCTTACAACCCGGTTAAAGAGCTTCATCTCCCACATAAAGGAACGTGAATGTTAAGAGTGCGGATGGTTATTGTCTTCTAGCTAGTAACAAGCTGTTTTCATGGTATCATAACTTGAGCATGTGCTTGTTGGATAAAGTTTCTCTATAGCTATTATTCAAATATTCTAAATATTCTTGTAGCGATGTATCAACAAACCAACACAAGAAACGATACAATAATAAGTACTACTTTAGAAAAATGATATTTGATGATGGAAGTTATGATGGAAGGCGTATCAGTATTTTTATACACCAGTTACCGCCTGCTCTTTGCCGCAGAGTCAGCCACAATTCCATGACAAGCCACGTATGACGCACAATGTAATTGCTAGTATCCAGAATAGGGAAAACTGCTGCAGTAAAAATTAATTATTACAAGTATAATTAACTTTCTAGTGTTAATTTCCCTTGTTCTCAAGTGTCGCGCGTAAAAGATTTGTCAGACATCGGTAGGTAGTTTTGCGACTACCTACTATGTAAATGTCTCTGAGACGAACCTGACCTATCACAGCCACACTTGCACTCCGGAGTAGATCAGGATGTGCAGTGGGTTCTAGCCCGTCACATGTTTGATCTGTTTGTACCTATATTAGATGATACCTTCGGAAAGCCATCTGCTACCTGGAGATGTGGACTTGACTATTAGATTTCAATGTCTTTGCCACCCGAAGTCAAGCTCTATATTTACACTGTGATTTGAATTCAAAAAGTATTCAAATCTGCATGACTGTATGACCATTCTGACCATTATTTTGTTTACATTGTGACCTACCTATTATTCATTTCAGGCGTTTGCTTGATACCCCTACGTCCTGAATCAACTAGCCTCACACCTAATCTAACAGATCTGGTATCTGTTTGATATCAGCCCGTCTCTCTTCACTCTAAAAAGTATTGGACATACCATCTTTCTTACCGTGCTGTTACCTTGAGGGAGAAGATGCCTGTATCACCAAAACAGCGGAAGATAGCTATTGTCGGCAGCCGTTCAGTGGGTATGCTTAAGCTCCTATTATTATTGATCAGTGGTCCTTGAGATCAAAACTTACTAGAACATATGCTAATAGTTGGCAGGCAAATCTTCTCTCACAGTTCGGTTCGTTGAACAGCATTTTGTAGAGAGCTATTATCCTACAATCGAAAACACGTTCAGCCGAATTATCAAACACAACGGCCAAGATTTTGCAACAGAGATTGTTGACACAGCTGGTCAAGTAAGAGAGACTTGTTTTTCTGTTTAAATTTTCGCAAAGTCTAATGCCATATTAGGACGAATATAGTATTTTGAACTCCAAACACTTCATTGGGATTCATGGGTATATTATTGTCTATTCCGTGGCTTCGCGCCAGTCTTTTGATATGGTCAGAGTTATCCGGGACAAAATCTTAAATCATCTTGTAAGTACCCGAGGTTGTTGCTGATAATACCTAGTATAACTAATAGTTAATTTAGGGTGCGGACCATGTTCCTCTTACTATTGTTGGAAACAAAAGCGACCTGAAACCCGAGCAACGCCACGTGTCTGTAGATGAAGGCCGGCAGTTAGCGGAGGAATTTCGTTGTGCTTTCACAGAGGCGAGCGCTCGTCTTGGTTACAATGTTGAAAGGGCATTTGATCTAATGATTGGGGAAATTGAGAAGACACAAAATCCATCACAACCAACTGGAGGTAATAAGTGCATTGTAATGTGATGTGAAGATGTCAATGGGCAAGTGTAATCTATATGGGATTAGCATTTAGAGAAATTGGGTACCTTGGATTTCTAAACCAGTCAACTCTTTACAATCTGCTTCCGAGTTATCAGGTACATACTTTCAGACTTGGGCTAACACTTATTACTTAAGAGTCTGAGCTATCTGATCCTGTACGTTTTGATGACTTAAGTCTATTCATAAAGATTCATGAGCTCTGACTGGACCATACAGATTTACAGATCAGACTGACTACTCAATCATTGTAGCATCTAACTGCATAGGAAGCTTGTTACCACAGAACCTACTAGACATTAACCTACTTTTATTGATCACTTGAAGAAACCTTCCTATATTATCTTGGACACGACTGATATGGTATCCATACTTTCTGATATTAAAATTTATATTTCTCATGTACAAGTGGATTACAGGATTAAGCTGCTCCCTTTTTCCTTTTATATTTCATATAGTGGCACTGGTTTTGTGCTAGATGTTTTGGACAAAGTATGGATGTCGTGAGACAGTACTGGGCAGATTGTACTCTCCAATGATATTCATGTATATTATATTATGTACAAGTTTGTGTACGGGGTACTCTATACACTATTAGGATATATTGGATTAATACGCGTATTAAGAATTACAGCCAGAATTTATGAAATATATTATAACTTATGATGTAAGGTTACACAACCTAGATGTATCAGTGCCCAGCAGATCTAGATCTTTTCTCATATATGTGTAAAGGTGCATGCTATGTATATACTGTCAAGATTATGTGCTTCTTCTTTTCCGTGAAGATCATAGAACCAGAAGAAAGGCATGTCATTCTACTCCGTACACAGCTCAGGTAACTACAGGGCCAGTGACCTGTATAAGTAGTGTACTAAAGTACCGAGTAAATTACCAAATAAATTATCTAATACGGTTCCATACAGACCCGTCTGGCACAGTAGTAGTGCTCAGTATCGTTTTACCCCTCGCTGATTAGTTCCACGCATTACTTTAATTTCGCCCTTAGGGTCTTTTCTTTTTTTCCTTGAACCCCTCATTACCTTGTGGTTGAACACTGACCGGTAATCAATAACCTGTCAGCCTATGATAATTGAGGAACCAAAAATCCTCAAAGAGACTACACATACCATAGGGTTTCCTTCTTGAACATATCACGAACGAATTTTCCAAGATGCTGGACCTTGCTGACTTTGTCACCGAGCGGGGTGGAAGCCCAAACAAAATCAAAGAGAGCCAGCGAAGACGGTTTGCCTCTGAAACTGTGGTTGATGAAGTCATTACATTGTACGAAGAAGCTCGTCGGGGTATGTTTATCCAATATCAATTATTATCTAGACGGATCAGGCTGGCTGATCTCTCAACGACCTGCAGCACGGTATGAGGTAATGCAAGTCGGCTCTCAACTCAACGCCCTACTGAAAGAAATTGGGAAAAAGAAGAAGGTTAGATCTCCAGATTATGTTTGGAGTATTCCAGAATACGCAACTTGTGTTGTTCTTCTCTGACGCGCGCTCTGAGTAGGCCAAGGAAGACGCAAGCACCCTAATTGAGCAAAAATCTGCCCTGGAGAAGTCCAAAAGGGAGGCCGAAGAACTGGCCCTGCAGAAGGAGAATGAGAGAGATAGCAAGATACGGACCATTGGGAACTATGTCCATGAGTCGGTCCCCGTCAGCAACACTGAGGTATGCATTTATTTCAAACACACCGGGAATGGGGGCGGCAATTAAGTATAATCTAGGATGACAATGTTGTGACGAAGACGTGGTCTCCTGAAGGGACTGTGGTCGAAAAACGCGATTGTCTCTCTCACCATGAGGTTCTCACGCGACTTGATGGCTATGACCCGGAGCGTGGTGTGAAAATCGTCGGCCACCGTGGCTATTGCTTGACTGGCTATGGTCTTTTCTTGAACCTTGCTTTGATTAACTACGGCCTGGAATTTCTTTGGGGAAAAGGCTACAAGCCAAACCAGCCCCCACAGTTCATGCTCAGGGAAATGATGGCGAAGACAGCCCAGCTTGAGCAATTTGATGAGGAGCTTTATAAGGTCACGGAGAGTGAAGACAAGTCAACTGATAAGTATCTTATTGCTACTTCAGAACAGCCACTGTCTGCATTGCATGATTCGGAATGGCTTCAAGATAAAGATCTGCCAATCAAGTAAGCTGCCGTTTCTCCCTGTTATACCTGTGTTTCTGGGGAAGCTGACCAATTTTAGGTACGCAGGTTATAGCACATGCTACCGAAAAGAGGCAGGGTCACATGGTAAAGATGCATGGGGTGTCTTCCGGGTGCATCAGTTTGAGAAGGCATGTAACGTCTCTACTTTGATCACGTTGTCTACTTCGTCCTGACCAAATCATAGATCGAGCAATTTGTCATCACGAAACCGGAAGATTCGTGGCGCGCTTTTGACGAAATGATGGCAAACTCGGAAGAATTCTACCGATCCCTCGGGTTACCCTTCCAGGTTGTTGCTATTGCCTCCGGGGCTTTGAATAACGCAGCAGCGAAGAAATATGATCTCGAAGCTTGGTTCCCATTCCAAGGAGAGTACAAAGAATTGGTTTCTTGCTCTAATTGCACCGACTACCAATCCCGAGCCTTGGAGATACGCTACGGTATCAAGAAAGCTACAGACGTGAAGAAATCATACGTTCATGCGTTGAATGCTACGCTGTGTGCCACAGAACGTACGCTCTGCTGTGTCCTTGAAAATTACCAAACAGAAGATGTATGTTTTGAGCTGGCCTTGTTTCTGTTGTTTACTTTGGTACTAATTGGCTCTAGGGAATTATTGTGCCGGAACCCTTGAGAAAGTATATTCCCGGCGCACCGGAATTTATCCCTTACACCAAGGAGCTCCCTAAAGACAGCACTTCGCACAAAGTCAAGGGAAGGCAGATACCGAAACCCGTTAGTGACGCTGAAGAAGCTACCAAGAAGGTGCAGAACTTGAAAGTATAGGCCCAAGTAGCAAAGAGGACTTGTTGCTCTTGGCAAAAATATCGGTTTGATGGTATTTGTGGTTGTAAACCCACGGAAGGCGGTACTTGGCTAGACATAGGAAAGCTCATCCTGGCAGCCTAAGCAGCCTAAAGAATTTTTCTCTGCAATATTACTACAAGGTTTCTACGGAGTAGTTCTTTCAACTATGTCCAGGTATTCCTATAGGATCAATTTTGTCTTCGTATAACATCCAGCCTTTATCAGGTCAGATTGCATAGGATCGACCATTGATGTCAGTAGATGTATGGTGTAGTATGATGAGCGTGTGTGCGTGCACGTAAGGGCGTAGCTTTAATTCGTGGAAGAGGAAGTGCCCCGCGGTATAGCACCTTGAGCATTGCCCCACCTATATTAGATGAGTCATGCCTAGATAATCACCAAGTTACTATGGTTTGGTTAAAAGTGTCTATCTACTGGAGTCCGGTTCCGGAGGTATAAAATCGTCACTTATTACCTGTTCTGATTTTCTCCCACCTCTTCCATCTTCGACGTGTTTTTTCACTTGCATTGCTAATTAGCCCGGCTAATCCATTTGTCAGGGTGCATGCCATTTCCTACTACTTCCTCGATATATCTTTTGTTCGCTCCAACCCTTTAAAGATTCACAATGGCAGCGTTTCCAAGAGATATTGATGCGCAGAACTTGAGTTTTTCGACCTCTCCCACCGCGTCCTTCCCATCACAGGCCTCCAGCCACCCGGGTTCAGCACTTGCAAATCGCACCATTCCGCTGGCCAACACTAAGCACTTGAAGCCCTTCGCCACTGAAGATATAAAAGTCTTGCTTCTGGAAAATGTCAACCAAACCGGTCGAGAAATCCTCACTCAACAAGGATACCAAGTCGAATTTCTTAAATCGTCTCTACCAGAAGATGAATTGATTGAGAAAATCAGGTTAGAAGCACCTCGCCTTAAACGCTTCAGCGTACTGATCAATCCTCAATTTAAACAATAGGGACGTGCATGTGATTGGGATCCGCTCAAAGACGAAGCTCACAGCTCGTGTCCTGAAGGAAGCCCGGAATTTGATTGTTGTGGGCTGTTTTTGCATCGGAACCAATCAAGTTGACCTTCAGTATGCAGCAGAGCATGGCATTGCAGTTTTCAACTCCCCCTTCAGCAATTCACGGAGCGTTGCAGAGCTCGTGATAGGAGAAATCATCGCCCTTGCTCGCCAACTTGGCGATCGCTCCAACGAAATGCACAATGGTACCTGGAACAAAGTCAGCAACAAATGCTGGGAAATTCGGGGCAAGACGCTCGGTAGGTTTATGTCACGGACCACTGCATCTTGATTCGGGCTAATTGCAATGGAATGTTAGGAATAATCGGGTATGGTCACATTGGTGCCCAGCTTTCAGTGCTAGCAGAAGCCATGGGTATGTCGGTTCTCTACTATGATGTGGTGAACCTAATGGCTTTGGGGACTGCTTGCCAGGTCCCGAAGTTAGAGACTCTGCTTTCCAAATCCGATTTTATAACATGCCATGTCCCTGAACTGCCCGAAACCCAAAATATGATTGGAAAACTCCAATTTGAACAAATGAAAAATGGGAGTTATTTGATCAATGCGAGCCGTGGGAGCGTTGTCGATATTCCGGCCTTAATCGAAGCCATGCGATCTGGAAAGGTCGCCGGCGCTGCCCTCGACGTTTATCCTAATGAGCCTGCAGGTAATGGTGATTATTTCAATGCTGACCTCAACACCTGGGGAACGGACATTCGGAATCTGAAGAATATTATACTCACCCCTCACATTGGGGGAAGCACCGAAGAAGCCCAGCGTGCTATAGGTGTTGAGGTTGCAGAAGCTTTAGTGAGATATGTCAATATGGGTACAACACTGGGCGCTGTCAACCTTCCTGAGGTTGCTCTTCGCTCTTTGACAATGGATGAACCTAACCATGCTCGGGTAAGTCATACCGTACCGTGTAGAACCTCTTGATGTCAGATTGGTCTCTAACGTGCACTGGTGGATATAGGTGATTTATATTCATAGGAATATACCTGGTGTGCTGCGCAAAGGTAGGCCAGATGAGTACACCGGCGATGAGACCTTTGACTGATATTTGCAGTGAACGAGATCCTTGGTGACCATAATGTCGATAAACAGATGACCGATAGCAGAGGCGATGTGGGTCATTAGCTCCCTATTATATGTCTAGCAATGATTTTTAACAGTGTCTAGGTTGCCTATCTCATGGCAGATATTAGCAGCGTCGATAACGCTACTATCAAGGATCTATACGAGAGATTGGAAAGTCTTTCATGTATGAACTTTACTCCCCCAAGCCAATACTCCGCTGACCAGACTCCAATTTAGCTCGCATCATGACGCGGGTGTTATACTAAATGCCCGTTTTATAATGCTCCATGTTTTGTGTAATACCGTTCGTTGGAGTGCGCGGTTTGACTAATTGGAAGTACAGAGCGGAAGATCAACTGGAAAAGCAATGTGACTCGGGGTGGCTGAAAGTACAGTATAATAGAATGAATTTGTTTTTAGAAAATGTGTAGACATTTAGCCACTTGAACCTGCAGACAGATCTAGTCACTTGGGATATCACCTTATCCAGGTCGGATGTCTTTTGTGACCACAAGACGGGCATTCCCGGCATTTACAACAAAGCTCCATGGTAGATTTTGTTATACATTGATTGACTTTTATCATTGGGAATCTCCTTAAACCCGATCCGTGGTCATGTTCTGAGAATACTGCCCTTTTCAACCAACTAAATTACACTGGTCACCGTCGATAAAACGCGTTTCCCGCTACACGACCTTCATTGATACAAGGGCTTCGGCTGCGCCTCCTCGGTGGATTGTCCCTCGAATAATCCCACCGACTCGATTTCGATTGGTCATAGATTGGATCGCGCTTATCGAAGTTTAGGTTTGAGCCGCCTTTGCTTCGTCGATCACGATCATACGTCCCCTGATTATTTCTTTGGGGGTTCCCGTCACGTCCTATTCTGCTGCCATTGTTTGCAACTCTCGCCTGATAGGTAGAGATCGGTGGTTTAGGAGGAAGGTGACCTTCGACCTGAAAGGACGGAACCGGTTGGCCCACATCTTCCATTCGCGGTCTCATTCGAGCGGAATGCATTTCGTGCCCCCGATTCAGTGCGTGCGGGGGATTACCATAGTTTCCAGACATGTTTGGCCTCCCCATACGAGCTGGACCAGGATTTCGGCTTACTTTGTTATCGCTTCCTGCCCTAGTCCCGCAGTTTGAGGCCCAGCTCCCACTCGGTCCCATCCCCACCGACCCCCCTGCAGGTGCCGGGGGCATACCAGCCCGTTGGCCCCGAAATCTCCTCCTGTCCAGTTCATGGGAGTCCTCAAAATGAGGAATTTCACCTGGGCGAGAAGGGAATGGTGGGCTTGTAAAATAGGGATGTTTTAGTGCATCGATAGCGTTAATCCGTTTCCGCCAATCGAGTTTTAAGAGTTCACGTAGTAGTGACAAGGTTACGGGGCTGTGGCTGCTCATTGTTAGACGATGACCTTGGAATTGTCAAGACAGTTTCCCGCCCTTTTTTTTTGAGAGCATGGGTTCAAAGCCTTACTTTTTGAAAACCTCGGACAAATTGCCCGGTCTGTGTCCAAAGTCCTTCACGCCTTCACAACCAGGCAAAGAACTCCAGCCCGGCATGTTCTCTTCGGTGGGTGTACCAACGAGGCTGAAGATAAGTTGAGCCTGGTTGAGGTCACTGTTCCCGGCAAGAATTGGCTTTCCTTTGAACATTTCGCCAAAAACACATCTAGAGCTATCAGCATCAGAGATATCGACGATCAGCCAGGGAAGTTTACCCGACACCCCACATATCAACAGCTGTTGTGTAACGGCGCAATTGAAGTAGCAATTCTGGAGGTCGATACCATCGGGTTACAACTAGTGTGGTGTAATCCCTTTTTGCTTCGCCTCCTCCTTTGCCTGGTTGTGGGGGGGCCTCATCGAATGGCCGAGCAAGACCAAAATCAGCGATCCGAAGAACCCCTTTATTGCTGATGAGGAGATTGGCAGCTGTATAGATGTCAGTTGGGTCATCGCAATTTGGATCCTTGATTTTGATGTCTGGGTAGATACCTTTCATATCACGATGTAAGATGCGATTCTATAATAAGTTAGAACTGTTTTTTATTATTGGTTTGTAAGTAGAATTGTACCCCGTGTAAATACTTGAGACCTTCAAGTAGTTGTAGCATGTAACATTTGATTTGGGACTCGGTGAACTGAACGGCAGGGTTCTCTAATAAACCTGATAGATCGTGTTCCATGTAAGGTGTTACCATGTACATGCTGGGTTTCTTTCTTCCTTCGCCTCGAGAGGAATAAGCCATAATATTTCCCAATAAAGAGGAAGAGATTGCTTACCTCTACCCCGTTCAACAGCCATTTCCTGAAGTTGTAATATATTACCATGGGAGAGCATCTTTAGAAGCTTAATTTCACGGAGAGCAGTTATTGGAAACTAATAGTATTGTTAGACTATATGCAGCAATGGAAATAGGATTAAAGCACTCACTCCATCCTTTTCATTGTGCAAAAGAATCTTTTTCAGGGCAACAACAGAATTGTCTTTCTTCGATTTAGCCTTGTAAACCTCTCTAGAAGTAGATCAGTAATGTGTCCGCATGGCATCTTGAGAAAACAACCTACCCGAAAGTACCTTCGCCGAGTTTACCCAAGAATTCAAAGTCACGAATGCTGGTGCAACCTTGAAATCTAGGGTTTCCACCAATATCCCGTTCAAGAGACGCTTTCGCCATGATGTATTGGACACTCGAACGGAGGCCGGGTTGACAAGATTATATTTCTCAAGGTCGATGACGCATATCCAAAAAAAATGCAGCCTTTATGGTCGGTTTGGTATCTCAGGCTCTCAAAAAAAATCTAATTCGGAACGCTTCTATCGGGGCCATGCCATAAGTTGTCGGGCATGGGAATATGGAAGTGGTGAGTATCAATTTTGTGCGAATATGTCCACAGGGTGTCTTTAGGTAAAGAATGGCGAGACAGATGAAATAGGCAGGGATAGTGTGAGGTAAATGATAGCAATCCAAGTAATAATCTCAATATTACTAGTGGGATAAGGCTTATGAGTTAGATTCGAACAGAGGGACAACCCACAGCGAAGACAATCAAGAAGAATTACTTGAATCTGAAAGGCAGTTTGGTCTGGTATGACAAGATAATCATCACTTAGTCCAAGAATAACCTTAAGCTATCTAGCACGTGCATTTAACTGGTACTCTGCGATAATCATCACGTGATCTAATGACTTGCGGAACCTCTATCTCAATAGTTTCCTGGTCCTGCTACACAAACAGCCACGACACATTTTGCTCTGACTTGGAAGATTTAAGTCACTTTAAAGTATGTACCAGATACTTACCACGTGCTACTTGTACTAATATCATTGTGCTATAGAATGGCTTCGAACCATCCGATTCATATTCACCCAGCAAGGCCTCTTTATCGCTTTACAGCGACGGCCCTCGGTGCTAGCATGTGGTTCTTTGTATGATCCCTTCCAAAAGGCATATGTAATGAACTTGTTTATATTTACTAATACTACTTTGGTATAGTTAATGTACCGCGCCAAAAAGGACGGTCCTGCGTTGTTGGGGTGGAAACATCCTTGGGAGCACTAAGCCAGTTCACTCGATGTGTATTTAACACGGTGCCATATAATTGATTTGCCTTTCGATAACCTATTCGCTATAACTCGTGTCAAAGGGACAAATGTTCGAATTTATATACGTTCTACTTGTTGCCGATAACCATCCTCATTGTTGGCATAGAACTAAACCGTGACGATATCCAAGAGTTACAAGCCCCTCATCAATGCTCTCGGAAACGGCGTGTTTAAATGGTTTTTTTATTTGCTAGCCCATGGAATAATCTATGGGAGAAAAATAATTTCAAATATTGGTTTTAACCAAAAACAGTTATTTGAGATGTAACCCATACAAACATCATATGCATGGGTGTATGCCCATTCTATGCTACAAGGCTCAAACGGCGAATAATTCATTCAATAACTTCATTTCCCAGGAACTCGTGCCTCAGATCTGGTGGGGAATATCCTGGTATAACATACCTGGACTTAGAGCTCTCCTACAAGGCTCTCTTGCTTTCCAAACATATAGGAATCATTTATATGCAGAATTTCGGACACATAACCAGTAAATGATAACCCAATCGATGACTGGAACTATCGTTTGGCGCCGAGCCTCGAGCCTCTTGCGTATCTTACTTCACCTGCATCTCCTCAAGCAATACCTTGTATTGACGACGCTGCTTGCGATGACCGGGTCTCAGGAAGGTATGTGCACGCCCTACTGCTCTAGCAAGTTCAGGGAAAACTGCCTTCTCCGAGACCCAAGAGAGTAGAAACGAGCCCATAACAAGTAAGAACAACCAACATGCGAAACCTTCGGATAAGAAAGTTAACTGCATGACTCGAGTCATCCATTTCGACGGTGTGAAGAGCATGGAGCAGGCAAGTGCCAAGTCTATAAGAAGAACAAGAACGAAAGGTACTGTGAAAATTAGCACTTGCTTAACGAAGATGAGACTGGAATACCCACTGTTTGACCTCATTGACATTCTGAATGGCGGTCCCACACTCAGAACAACACTTGCCAATGTGTATTGAAAGCTAGAAACTAAGAACAGAGCGGTATTTTCGGAATTGGCGATATTGCTCTTATCCGAATCGACCCGAGGAGGCTGGAACCTATCGTAAGAGTTGGTAAGTATATGCGTATGAAGGTCGTCTTGTTATCAACATACCATGGCTGCCACTGAACTGTCTTATATGCAACCATCTGTGTCAAAACAGAGATTGTAATTTGCCCGAGTAAAGGGGTCAGAACTTTCCGCGAAACCAGATCCGCTGTTGGTCGCTTTTTAGAAAGTATAGGATAAGGGCCAGTCCAACCCACTGTTCAACAAAACCTAGTTAGCCTAGTAATGTGACTTGAAATTCCGATCTTTCTCTGCCCAAGAGATCCGATTCTCCATGTCGTCCAGTCAAGCTGTTGTGCACGCCACTTACTGAATATTGCGATAGGTAATATAAGCGCTAGATCAATGAAGAGAAACTGGATCTAGTCAGAAGAAACCCAGTAGAATACTGTCATATGGGACATACTTGAAAGTCACCAAGGTTCGAGGCTGACGTGTATAGAAAGCTGACCGTGGAGAATTGGATGGCCGAGTAAAGACTCATGTATTTAAAACAACAAAAACTAGTGACCAAAGCTGCTCGGCCTTCCCTATAACTCATTTAGCAGTAAGTCTAGGAAACCCTAGAAGGTATCGGTACCTTATCAGTGTAGGTACACAAGATATGTCGAACTGGCGACTGGTAAAGGGGGCAGCAACAGAAGCTTCGGCATCAGATAAAGATATACCGACATCTGCAGCTTTTAATGCGCCGCAATCGTTCGCGCCGTCGCCGCAAAACCCACAGCAGTAATCAATGGACTGAAGCTTTTCGACCAGCTCATGTTTTTCGTCGGGTGACATTCGTGCAAAGACATTTCCACGCGCGAGGACCTGTTGCTCATGTTAACAGTGTTAAAGGGCAGCGGCATCAAAGCCCAGATTTGATTGAACCATGCGAGGAATTGTTAAGAATGAAAGCTTACGCGTTTGACGACAGTCTCGCTGCTGTATTCCAGCATCCACCTGAACACATCTCCAGTGACAGCCAGTGAATACTTGCTAATGTTACAAGCATTGGTTGGTACTGATAGATCAACTTCAGGGGAGTCCAAAGAAGGCTGCAAGCAGTCAGTCTCGATTTATTTCCCGGTTTTGTCATTTTCAAAGAACGCAAAGAGTAGTTAGGGAGTAGTTACCATTAATGTATTCTGGTCAAGCGTAAAAGTTGGATCATCGACGCTTTCCCAGGATAGTGAGGACTCGCCAGGAGAATGACCTTTCAAAAGGTTAAAAATTGATCAAGAAGATATATAGAAAACAACCAACCTTCAACAAAGTGCGGGATGAAGCACTTTTCGTCTTTGCTGATCAACCCACACTCACGAGCAACACTGATCGCTGTCAGTATATTATCACCAGTGCACATGATATTCCGAATTCCAGCATGATTCAACTCCGCAATAGTTTTGGCAGTGCCTGACTTAAGTTTATTCTCGAAAATAATAAACCCAAGGAATGTCAAGTCACGTTCTGTGTCTCTCCGTTCCATTTTCTGTGCCTTCATCCAGCTTAATCTTGGTATATACCTAGTGGCACAAGCAATAACACGGTAACCTTTGTGAGTGTAATGATTCAAAAGATCATCAAAATCCCAGGGCACTATTGAGTGATCCTGATGTTAGTGACATGACTGTTAATATAAGGGTATATCTATACACACAGCTTTCAGGAAGACATATATCCTTCACACTTTCTGGTGCTCCTTTCACAAAGATGCTAGCACCACTGTCACCAAATTGTCGCACCACTACACTTGAGCGGCGAAGCTGTGACACAAATTCGAAATTACGCAAAATGCCTAGCTCCAAATGGGCCTAATCATTAGACGTCGTTAGCATTTTCCACCCAGTTCTACACACTCTAGCCCGGATGACTTAGCGTGTTCTCACATTGGCTCCATTATCTTGATAGTCATTGACTTGGGATATTGCCGGCTTTGCAATAGACGGCATTATAGTTTCATACTTGGAATTCTGTTGCTCAGAACCCTGACTTCCGCCTTCTTGGTAAGTCCAGCCTGTGAATTGGAACATCTTCACATCCAGAGGGTCCCCTAAGAGTTCATCATCTACAACTCTCAGGGAGTGACATGTTGCCATGGTGTATATAAGACTGTTCCTCTTCTCAATATCGAACGAAGCGTCAGGGTCTGGAGCCGAAAGCCTCAAAGATTCTTCGGAAAGAACATCAGAAAGACTATGGATGAGTTAGCGAATACAGATAAAGTTGGTGACAGACATAGATACCTCATATCCCGGTTCACAGACCGCACCCCAAGAACGTCCAGCCCATCCTCCGTCAGAGTGCCTGTCTTGTCGAAGCAGACAACATCTAATTTGCCACCTACATTGACCCTATTTATTGGTTAGTTTGAGATCCACTTTGGACGTGATTTTCTCCTGCCTTTGTGGACTAATGCAAAATATCTTGTGCTGTTTCAGTCGAGAAAGCGCGAAATTGGTACCGATTGTCAGTGTCGCAGGCAAAGCAGGTGGCACAATGATGGTGATCAAATCAAGTGCTCTGACAACTATCAGATGCCAGGAAAGCTAGGAGGTATCAGAAAAAAAGGATTTTCCCACTGAGTTATTTGTGTACACTTACTCCTAGTCGAATGAAGTTCACAAATGAAGTGATGAAACCCAGGATAGCAATCACACCCATAACAGATATGTAGCGGAAGGAGTCGCGATAGAATTTGAAACCAGTGGGTTTGGGAAACAGCATGGAGCGTACCAGTGCGCCTTTTGTTGTTGTGAAACCTGTTCTCACGACAATCGCTAATGCAATGGCTTCATCATCATCAACATTTTGCGGACGTCGAGCCCGAATCACTTTTGTCCCATTGAAACAGAAGTGTTTGGCAATAGCAGGATGGATGGATGGGGCACTCAGGTTAAGATACTTGAGTGCACTGTCTGTTAGCGGACTTTTTGAGACAGGCACAGATTCGCCTATCATGTTTTCTCAATTAGTCAACTCTTCTTCTCTGATTGATATTTATGTTAGTTATACGGGGCGGCATTCACTAACCAGTGAGCATGCTTTCATTCACAATACAGTCACCAGACAGCAATATACAGTCACAAGGAACTTGATGTAAAGACGGGTCAGAAAACTCGAAGACGTCACCAGGCACAAGGTCTCGAGAAGAAACAGATCTCCCTACAAAAAAAATATCAGTACCCATAGGAGGTTGTAGAAAGCGGGAAGCCGGAAGCCGGAAGTCGGAAATGGATAATCCTACAGAAACCATTTCTGAGAACACGAATATCACACTCGAACAATGAGATTTCCCGCAACCGACTCATGGTCTGGAGATTAATGAGCAACAGCGACCAACTAGTTATCATGGGATGGCATACTGATTTCGTTTCAATGACCGTCGAGCCTATACTGAAGACAGATATGACGAATATACAAACAGCATAGTAGTAATATTCGTCCATTGACCAAAGGATGAGGCTCGCGAGTTGGAATATATAGAATGGGTGGAATGCCTCCATACGTGAGAAATTTGATATCGTAAATTCAACGCCTTGGGGCTTACCTCGTCCACAAGCAATTGACCTGATGACTTTTGCTGGATATCAAGGAGGTTCTTGCCAAATATTTGCTCGCGACTGTCGCGATCATCGGCATCCAATCCATTTCGCATTACCTTCGAATTTGTCCACAAAGGATCCCTCCAGCCACTAACCAAACAAAATCTGTCTAGGATAGGGTGGTAGAAAAAACGTAGATACCTGTATTCAACGAAACGCAATAGTGGTATTGTCGGGTCATTGTCTTCATCATTTGAGCAAATTTCCGGGCTTGCAAAGATAGTTGAAAGAGGACGACCATATTCCTGCTCGATAACTTTATACACGCTGAACTGGTTCCGTTGATCCTGTGCTGTATTAGTGACGACTAGAAAAGTGATAATCAACAAGGCAGGAGGAATAATATTACTTCAATTGCAACCCATTGGCAGGTCTGAAGTCGTGTCGGTCTCCCGATCAGCCGTACTCGCCACCTAGGAAACCATCTAAACACTAGACAAGCCAACCCTAGTGTCAAGATGCATAAAACAATGTACATCAGTAATCCAGTTAAGTCCGTGGAAAAGCCAGCGACAACAACTGTTAGGTCTTCAGATTCGATGTGGATTTTGTGTTTTAACCTCGCATCGTGTCTTCGGGGTTGGCCATATGAGCTACTAGATGACAGCCGGCGCGGAAGTAGAGGTTCTTCGACTGAACCTCTCGGTGAAGATACTTTGGATCCAGAATCGTCATTTGGTGCGCTGGTGTCGATGGACATTCCGTCGATCTCGCTGCGGGTATCCATGGCATCCTCGATTGGCCATTCGGCATGGCCCCCTTCATCTTGGAAATACGTGAAACTAATGGAAGAGTTTTTCCGGCTTCGTCGATTGGAGAAGGAGACGACGCTGGATGGAATGCTCTCTGAGATTGGCCCATCGAAAACCTGTTCGATGTTGGTTATTTTCCATTCCCCAAACTGGGCTTCCACGAGCAGTAGAATAGGGGCCAACCTCGTCGCGGGCCATCTCCACATCTGAAATGACACTGTAGCTAATTGATGTTAGCAAAGCTAGAAGACAAAAGTTCTGGTGTAGGTTATAAACCTGCTTCTCATGGAATCACGCCGATGCCCAGCCCTAGATGACGGGACCCCGGGTAATTCCCTTGACGACCGTGTAGAATGATCCATAATGCCGTATATGCCAGTCCTGGTCTTTGATTGATTCAATGATTAGACGATGCCTGGAAGCAATGCAATCATCGTCACGACTGGAAGTGAAATAGAAATATGCGACCTCAAGGATTTGGTTGAGGAAGGGGGTTATTAAATTGCAAAAAAAAAAAAAAAAAACCTCTGCTGTTTATCATATACCTTGCAGTATATCATATATATTGTGGGTGAAACAGATAGACTGTTTGGAAGCCAGCAGGGAGAGTGTCTATTATGATTCAATCAAAGTGCCCAGCTATGTAAATGCATTTCGTCCAAGGTATTGGGATATCAGTTTCTCCTATCAGCACGTGATCCTATGCATATCACCGACTTCACAGACCCAATCTTGGTGGCAGAACATTATCTACATAATAGCAACAAGCCTTTTCTGTTTTCTTTATCTTAGTCGACAAATGGTGGTCTATGATTCTCATTGATTGCAAACGTCTCTTTTTCTACCAAGAAAAATACAATGATAATACTTCGCTGCCATTATCCCATGGTTTCCCCACTGACAACGAGAGCACAATATATCTGTTCTACTGCGGAGTATGGGGAAGATGTAAGGACTAGGTGGCTAGTCACATACAACAGATGCACTTCCATTGATATGAGTCTTGATTACACTTTATAACACTCTAGTCACCTACCTGTGAACTTATAGTACTCCTTGTGACTGTTTCAGTTTCAGTATCTAATAGTTAACTATCCGACACTGTCACATTACAAATCAAATATCAACTGCAGATCATACAATACGATCTTGAGACATATCCCCAATGATGAAACAAGTCCCAATAGAACATCAAGTCTTGCTCATAAGTCAGCTCTAAATACTTTCTATTGATCATTACAGTGAGGATAAAATCTTTTAAAAACAGAAGAAGAAAAAATATATCGATTGATAAGGTAGGTAACTTGTGGTATGTTAACACGATACTCTGTAATTCTCAAATAACACTTGAAATCCGATACCGATCTTTTTTTCTATCTACCATTGTATCATCAATTTGTTGGAAGAAATAGTAGGCTACTAAGTACACTTATCTACTAGTGGAGTGTGGTTTGTTCGGACTTTTCCTCTCTGAAAGCTAAATTGTCCACTTTTCCCTCCTTCTTTCCACTCATTCACTCACATTTTAGATGGTTGCCGCTGGCAAGGCTGTTGTCCTACAACATTGTTGGGAGCGCTCTGAGGTTTCTCAACAGCGACCGCCGCCAAGCCCCTCGGCCCAAGGGCGCTAAGGATCCCACCAAGCCAGTATTCCAGACTTCCAAAACTAAGGCGTTATCAAATTCTTCCTTCAACACTTAATCCTCCCCCAAAACAACCCCTCGTCCGGCTTGTCATTTGTTTTATTTCTTGTTTCTCTTTTCTTTACCGACAACAGTCTTCTCGCGATGTCTGAGCCTATCAGGAACAAAAAGGCGGACTTCCCGGTCGCCCCGTAAGTAGCTTCTTGCTTTATCTCTGCGTGCACTTTTTTTTTTCTCCCCTTCTTTCAAGATCGCCCCATACCTGGTCTTTATCGACTCTGCCCTGTCCTTTGGGTTTTAATGATGATTATAGGACACCGCAAAATACGCCAGCTAATAATGCCCCGATCTCTTCCCACGCTCAACAACCAGGTGTTTCTAGCATCAAAGAAGGTGATTTTCATGATCTATTCCCATCAACACTCGGGCGTCTAACAGGAAGTTAGAATCTCTTGATCATGCAGCAGCGGCCTCTCTGTTTGCACGGAACCCAGGTCTCGTTTCTATGATTCAAGGGAAGTTAGGGTCTCTTGTTGGCCGCTCGTCAGGTTACATCGAATCCCTGCCTGTTTCTGTCCGCAGACGCGTGGCTGGGCTGAAGGGTGTTCAGAAGGAACACGCTAAGCTTGAGGCTCAATTTCAGGAGGAGGTCTTGGAGCTGGAGAAGAAATATTTCGCCAAATTTACTCCCCTGTATCAGAGGCGCTCTACGATAGTCAATGGGGCTTCTGAACCAACCGAGGGCGAAGTGGATGCAGGCAAAGGCGACGAAGACGAAGACGAAGACGAAGAGCTCGATGTCAAGGATGAGGAAGGCACCAAGAAAGACGAAGATAAAGAACCTTTGATCTCGGGCATCCCAGAGTTCTGGCTTTCTGCCATGAAGAACCAGATTTCGCTTGCGGAGATGATCACTGAACGAGATGAAGAGGCCCTCCGACATATTACTGACATCCGTATGGAATATCTCGATAGACCAGGTTTCCGCCTTATTTTCGAATTCGCCGAAAACGACTATTTCACCAATAAGACCATCTCGAAAACCTACTACTACAAGGATGAGAATGGATACGGCGGTGATTTTATCTATGATCATGCCGAGGGTACGAAAATCGACTGGAAAGCCGACAAAGACCTCACTGTACGCGTGGAAAGCAAGAAGCAAAGGAATAAGAGTAAGTCATTGGAACCACAGGAAGTACGAAAGACTTTTTGCTAAGAACATCTTAGATACGAAACAAACGCGGGTTGTCAAGATTACTGTGCCTGCGGAATCCTTTTTCAATTTCTTTTCACCCCCGCAGCCCCCAACTGATGACGACGATACTGTTGCCACCGATATCGAGGAGCGTCTTGAACTGGATTATCAGTTAGGGGAGGATATCAAAGAGAAGCTTATACCTCGTGCGATCGATTGGTTCACTGGAGAAGCACTTCAGTTTGAGGAACTGGGCGACGATATGGATCAAGACGATTTTGATGATGAGGATGACGAAGAGGATGATGATGACGAAGAGGGTGATGAAGATCAAACGTCCGACCGTGATGTTGACGATGATTCCGATGAGGAGGTAAGAATACTCTCAGTGTTTTGTTTCATTCCTGTCTTGTATGGATCCATGAATACTAATTATAATCAGGATGGGGCTTCTAAGCCGAAGAAAGAGGCGGCAGAATGCAAACAGAGCTGAACTCGTTGGCCATGATGGTTCAGTAACTATGTGAGATGGTTGTTTTGTGGCTGGGATTGATCTTTCAAGATTTTTATTCCTTTCCTTCTCTCCCATTTCTCAACCCTTTCCCAGAACTCCCCACACAGAAATTGTTTTTACATTGACTTCGTCTGTCTGTAATTCCTGTTCTCGTATCCATATTAAAGAGAGAGTATGTGGGCGCACCTGTAAACTTCTCTGAAACTGGATGAACAATAGGTATCTTTAATATCATATCATATCATATTACTTGAATCCGAACAGATACAATTTAAACGCTAGGAACACTCGAAGCACTGGAATGGTATGTTTCAGTCTAGATCGTCTTGCTTGGTTTCTAGTAGAATCTATAGAAATATGTATATTACTCCATAGCTTACCACAGGGGTGGCGGTGTAGCGAAGGATCGGGATCCCTCTCAACGAAGCGGCGTCCTGCCATCTGCTACCCTTTTCTAGTCTCTTAAGGCTAACTTCTTCCGTTACTTCTACTTGGTTTAGCCCATCGTCGGCCTTCCGATTTATCATGTCGTGCCAAGCAGTGTGAATATAACGCCGGAGCTCCTAGACCCAAATCTTAGGAAAATTCCAGAAGATTATCCAACCTCGGTCTTTTCGACAGCTCTTTGTCCCCTTCCTTCTCTCCCCTCTATCACCAGCAACACACGAGTCGATTCCTCCCTCCAGAGATGAACCTTCCACGCGTGAACTATACAATAGGCTACCCACCTCACGCCTCAGTAATGGATCCGGCGCGCGACTCTATTGGGCCCCGCTATGTCTGACTTGATGGCCTCAAATGAAGCAGCGTTATACTTACACAAGCGCGGAAGGAATCCTGCCGCCACAGCTACTGGTCGTTAGATCACGAAATCCCAGGGCAGTTCATAAATGCAGATACTGCTAATTTCTTCCCAGATGGCATGGAGAAAATTCTGTATGGATCATATCGTGGGTTGGTACACCGAACCGTATGTGATGTTGATTTCTGGTTGCACCGCTCGAGGGATATCATCTTGTCTGGTGGCGCCCGCGAATTCAGAAAACCAGACATTATTCATTCTGACCACAATCTTTCACCTGAGGCTTGCTATCAGTTCGGAGACTCCAGTCCACCCGTCACTGCGGAGCTTGGAAGATATTAACTTCGTGAGATTTTGGGCTTTGGCCGCGGTAATGAGTCGTCTGTTACCTCAATACGTAATTGCTCATATTCAACAACAGATTTGAATTCGAACAGTATGGAGAGATCAATAGTAGAGATCGTCAAAGTGTCTCCTGTGAGTTGAGTTTTATTCAATACGTGAGGATGATCAAAAAGTTTCTAGGGGCTGGTAAAATTCACTCGCTATGACTCCCATGCCCGATGGCTTTTAGACACTTTAGTTTCTTTGACTTATTCTTCCCCCCTCTTTGCCCCCCCCCCCCCCCCTCCCGCCTTCCTTTTCCGGTCCATTGCGTTGCACATTGTAAGAATAATGGCGGGGTGGGGTGAATGCTCTCTATCGGTATCGTCAAACATCATCAGAACCAAAGTAATTGAATAAGGACAGCATAAGGTATATCAGACCGATTGCCCCAAGCGGAAACCCCGAGATTGTTCAAGTCATGTATTTCTAATTCATGAAGAAAATGCTTAACTATATGGGTCGAAACTCACCGCTTGTCTAGAGTCGTGTACCCCGCCAATAGCAGACAGGATCCACCTCTTCCAAAATCTTTCCAGTTGCTTGAGTTGCTTACAGGTGTAAAAGTTAGAATTTGGAAGTTCCCGTTACCTTATGGCGGGATGTATAGCCTATGCTTTGTATATGTACATGTATGACCATAACAAGAAGAAACGGTATAGATGAATCAAGTTTGTCCTTCTGTCATGATGCTGTTTCTTGGCGTGGACAACTGTGGGGATTGCCCCGAGTGGCGCGGCTCTGGAGCTCTCAGGGGTCGCGGCTCGCTAACGGCTGGGCTGTTATTGTTAGCCAATTCAACAACTTGCTGAAACGTGCAACTTATTCCTTTCTCATGACTAGAATCTTACGCTGCTGTCCTTGTGAATTTGTTTTTCTTTACGAGCTTTGCTATCTGACTTCTTAACTGCCTGCATATTTCCTTTGCTAAATGCCTAGATCAGTCAACTGATCGTTCGAAGATCACGCATAGGCGCCTTGCTCGGTTCTTGCGCGTACTGAGGGCGTCTGTCCTCCCAGCGACACAACCGTCATGGCACACAATTATGAAGTCGGGACTAGGGCCTGGCAGCCAGATCCCACAGAAAGCTGGGTTGCCTCTGAGGTCTCGGAGAAAATAGTTGATGGGGACAAGGTTCAACTTGTGTTTTCACTGGAAAATGGGGAGGTTTGTTTGAAGCTCCCTGTTGGATGATGCACATCCAATATCTATCTCCATACGTTTGACTGATCAAAATCCACGGAAAAAAGTCGAAAACCTTGGAAACCACGCAAGCCGAACTTTTGGTGGACAATAATCCCAATCTTCCCCCATTAATGAACCCCGCGATGCTTGAAGCTAGCGAAGATCTCACGAATCTTTCTCATCTTAATGAACCTGCTGGTAGGTGTTTATATATCCCTCTTCTTTCGAACCGGACTGACCTTTTCCTTCTAAAGTTCTACAGGCTATCAAGCTACGCTATGCACAAAAAGAGATATATACATACAGCGGCATTGTGCTCATTGCAACCAATCCCTTTGCAAGGGTGGACTCACTCTATGTCCCGCAAATGGTGCAGGTGTATGCTGGTAAACATCGAGCATCACAGGCACCTCATCTCTTCGCGATCGCTGAGGAAGCATTTGCGTAAGAATACGAATCTCTCCGTTGTTTTTGTTTAATACACTAATCAAATCTGCTAGTGATATGTTACGAGACGGCAAAAATCAAACAATCGTGGTATCGGGCGAGTCTGGTGCTGGAAAGACTGTCAGCGCCAAATACATCATGAGATATTTTGCGACTCGCGAATCCTCTGATCAGCCTGGGAAATATACCACCAGCAGGGCCGATGCGATCAGCGAAACTGAAGAGCAGATTTTAGCAACAAACCCCGTGATGGAAGCCTTCGGAAACGCTAAGACCACTCGCAACGACAACTCCTCTCGCTTTGGGAAATATATCGAGATTATGTTTGATGACCGAACGAACATTATTGGTGCTAAGATCAGGACGTACTTGCTGGAAAGGTCCCGGCTGGTATTCCAGCCCCTCAAGGAGCGTAATTATCACATTTTCTATCAACTGGTTGCCGGTGCAACGGATGCGGAAAGGGAAAGCCTTGGGCTTGCCCCGGTGGAAGATTTTGACTACCTCAACCAAGGCGGCACGCCAACTATTGACGGAGTCGACGACAAAGCAGAGTTCAATGCCACGAGAAAATCACTCGCCACTATTGGCGTCTCAGAGCAAACACAAGTTGATATCTTCCGTATCCTTGCAGCTCTGCTGCATTTGGGAAACGTCAAAATCGCCGCCACGCGCACCGACTCTTCTCTGGCACCTTCTGAGCCTAACCTTGTCAAAGCATGTGAAATGCTCGGGATTGATAATGGGGAGTTTGCTCGATGGATAGTGAAAAAGCAGCTCATTACGAGAGGCGAGAAGATCACCTCAAATTTGACTCAGCAACAGGCGATAGTTGTTCGAGATTCGGTTGCAAAGTTCATTTATTCCAGCCTGTTCGATTGGCTCGTGGACAAGATCAATCGCGGTTTAGCCACTGATCAAGTTTTGAACAAATTCAGAGCTTTCATTGGTGTTTTGGACATCTATGGATTTGAGCATTTTGCAAAAAATTCATTTGAGCAATTTTGCATCAACTATGCCAACGAAAAATTGCAACAAGAGTTCAATCAACATGTATTCAAGCTTGAACAAGAAGAATATGTGCGCGAGCAGATTGATTGGACCTTCATTGACTTCTCGGACAACCAACCGTGCATTGATCTCATTGAAGCAAGATTGGGCATATTGTCACTTTTGGACGAAGAATCTCGGCTGCCCATGGGCTCGGACGAACAATTTGTGACTAAACTGCATCACAATTTCGCGGCTGATAAACAAAAATTCTACAAGAAGCCTCGATTCGGGAAATCTGCATTCACCATCTGTCACTATGCTGTTGATGTTACCTATGAATCGGATGGTTTCATAGAGAAGAATAGGGATACCGTCCCCGACGAGCACATGGAAGTCTTACGCAATTCTTCCAACGGATTCGTGAGGGAGATTCTAGATACTGCTGCTATCGTTCGAGAGAAAGATTCCGCTTCCATTTCATCTAAGCCTGTTGCTGCACCTGGACGCAAGATTGGCGTTGCTGTCAATCGCAAACCCACTCTTGGAGGAATCTTCAAGTCGTCACTCATCGAGCTCATGAACACCATAAACTCCACGGATGTGCACTACATTCGTTGCATCAAACCAAATGAGGCGAAGGAGTCATGGAAGTTCGAAGGGCCGATGGTTCTCAGTCAATTAAGGGCTTGTGGTGTGCTTGAAACTGTTCGAATCAGCACTGCTGGATATCCTACTCGCTGGACCTATGAAGAGTTTGCTATCCGTTACTACATGTTGTGTCATTCAAATCAATGGACGTCCGAGATCAGAGAAATGTGCCATGCCATTCTGCAGAAAGCTATAGGGGATGGTAGTCACCAGAAGGTGGATAAGTATCAGCTGGGCTTAACAAAGATATTTTTCAGGGCCGGCATGCTTGCGTTCCTTGAGAATCTGCGAACGTCAAGATTAAATGAATGTGCTGTAATGATACAGAAGAACCTGCGATGCAAATACTACCGTCGCAGGTACCTCGACGCTCGCTCTTCAATTCTTACCACGCAAGCCCTTGTCAGGGGCTTTTTGGCAAGACAGCATGCTGCGGAAGTGCGTCAAATCAAGGCTGCCACGACCATCCAAAGAGTATGGCGGGGTCAAAAAGACCGCCGAACGTATAATGATATCCGCCGAAAATTCATTCTCTTCGAGTCGGCTGCCAAGGGCTTCCTTTGCCGCAGAAATATCATGAACACTATCCATGGCAACGCAGCAAAGATTATACAACGGTCTTTTCGTTCTTGGCGGCAACTCCGTGCTTGGAGGCAGTATCGTCGCAAGGTGGTCATCATCCAGAGTCTCTGGAGGGGTAGAGAGGCCAGGACAGAATACAAGAAGCTGCGAGAGGATGCGAGAGATCTCAAGCAGATCTCTTATAAGCTGGAAAATAAGGTGGTGGAGTTGACCCAGTACCTTGAGTCGTTGAAGCGTGAAAACAAGTCCTTGAATTCGCAACTCGAGAATTTTGAGACGCAATTGAAGTCATGGAGAAGCCGACACAACAATCTGGAGACCCGTGCGAGGGAGCTCCAGGCTGAAGCTAACCAAGCCGGTATTACTGCTGCTCGTTTGTCTGCCTTGGAGGAAGAGATGAGCCAGCTGCAGCAAAACCACGCTGACGGACAAGCGACCATCAAGCGCCTGCAGGAGGAGGAGAAGGCCACGCGGGAGTCGATCAGTTCTAATAATCAGGAATTGGAGCGCCTGAAGCAACTCAATCTAGAGGCCGAGAATGAAAAGGCTTCTCTTCGTCAACAAGTTGCTGAACTGGAGGAACAACTAGATGTTGCAAAGAGAACTATGCCGTCTCATGGCTTCAATGAGGATCAACAAAACGGTGTCTCTATCCCACCACCCGCCAGTGGATTGATCAATCTCGTCTCATCCAAGAAGCCCAAGCCCAAGCGACGCAGTGCAGGGGCAGAAAGAACCGACGTCGATCGCTTCAGTGGTGCCTATAACCCGCGACCTGTCTCTATGGCAATTACAGGTGCTTCATCACGTCAAAATCTTTCTGGGACCACATTTTCACCAGGGCTGGACTCTGTTGAAGCAGAACTTGAAAACCTGCTTTCCGAGGAGGACGATTTGAATGAAGAAGTTACAATGGGTCTCATTCGCAATCTGAAAATTCCGTTACCCAGCTCTACTCCGCCACCGACCGAAAAGGAAGTCCTATTCCCTGCGTATCTGATCAATTTGGTCACATCTGAGATGTGGAACAATGGCTTTGTGAAGGAGTCAGAACGATTTCTGGCAAATGTGATGCAATCAATTCAGCAAGAGGTCATGCAACACGACGGAGATGATGCGATTAACCCTGGGGCTTTCTGGCTTTCCAACGTACATGAAATGCTTTCTTTCGTATTTCTGGCCGAGGACTGGTACGAAGCCCAGAAAACCGACAATTACGAATATGATCGTCTTTTGGAAATTGTGAAGCATGACTTGGAGAGTCTAGAGTTCAACATCTATCATACATGGATGAAGGTGCTCAAGAAGAAGCTGTACAAGATGATTGTCCCTGCGATCATTGAGTCTCAATCTCTGCCAGGATTTGTCACGAGCGAGACAAACCGGTTCCTCGGGAAGCTTCTCCCTTCCAACAACAACCCGGCTTACAGCATGGATAACCTCCTCAGCCTTCTGAACAATGCCTACAAGGCAATGAAGGCTTTCTATCTGGAGGACACGATCATCACACAGACAGTGACCGAACTCCTTCGCCTTGTTGGGGTCACAGCATTCAACGACCTCCTCATGCGGAGGAACTTCCTTTCGTGGAAGCGTGGTCTCCAAATCAACTACAATATAACTCGCATTGAGGAGTGGTGTAAGAGCCATGATATGCCCGAAGGGACACTACAACTGGAACATTTGATGGTAAAGTACACCCCAAAGAGATGGAAGACTGGTGTACATCCAAGACTAACTACTCCATATAGCAAGCTACCAAACTCCTCCAGTTGAAGAAAGCCACTCTCAACGACATAGAGATTATTCAAGACATTTGTTGGATGTAAGTCAAATTGTTACCACCGTGGTTGACAGATCCAAGTAACCTAACCATACCGCATAGGCTCTCCCCGAACCAAATTCAGAAACTTCTGAACCAGTACCTTGTGGCAGACTACGAGCAGCCTATCAACGGCGAGATCATGAAGGCTGTTGCCTCTCGCGTGACGGAGAAAAGTGACGTGCTCCTCCTGACCCCAGTCGACATGGAGGACAGCGGTCCCTACGAAATTGCTGAGCCAAGAGTCATTACGGCTCTGGAGACATATACACCATCCTGTAAGTGAAAATACTGTGGAACAAAGATTCACCTGCGGCCCCGCCCTTTGGCCTCACCGGCTTTCCCCATTCAGCTTTTTTGCCTCATTGATCTTTGCACCTCGGCTGACATGCTTTAGGGCTTCAAACTCCACGGCTGAAGCGTCTTGCTGAGATTGTCTCAGCCCAGGCCATGGCACAGCAGGAGAAACTCGATGGACCTGAAACTGGCGCGGAAGCTAGCGAATAAGCTCCTACGAGCGAATAGGGGTCATCGCCTTTTTATTTAGATATACTGGCTGTTTATGAAATTTTCCATCTCTTCTTGTCACATGCAATTGGGCTTTATGTATGTATGTCTTGATCACGAAGGTAGACAGGTAGACATCTAGGAGATTCAACTGGCACTTTTCTGCTCTTTTCACAGGCTTTCTCTAAAGTTGTCAACGCTTTTGATCAGAGTTTGTAATAAGCAAATAATTCTCGCCAAATCTGCGGCAATGGAAGCGGCATAGACAGAAGGCAGCATCAAGAACGCTTGTAGTTTATCAAGGTTGAGATAATTCACCATGATGGACATGTCATATTAGATAATCACTACTAGGCACCGTAACTGATATCCGGCGGTGATTTTGTTGAGTGCTAAAGTTTCACAACAACCCATTATAGTTGGCCCTCGGAACCTTTCGAGTGTAATAATCTGCACGCAGCTTTTTTTATTTGTGATTTATTTTGTTCCGTTGCGTTACTGCCTAGTATCAATTCGCTGATACCGCTTGAACCGAACCGTTATCATGGCCATTAAAAGTTTGAATTTCATCACTGGTAACCAAAATAAACTTGCGGAGGTGAGAGCTATTTTACAAGGCGTGGTTGAGGTTGAAAGCCAGGCAGTCGACACGCCCGAGATACAGGGAACAATTGAAGAAATTGCCAAGGAGAAATGCAGACGCGCTTCAGAAGTGGTAAGGAACGAATTTCACTACGAGTGACCTCTTTGCGAGGATTCCAGCTTTCTGCACAGACTATCATGTCGATTTTTATCGCTTTTTCTATTCGGGCTAATGTAACAAACTTAGGTTGGAGGCCCTGTTCTGACAGAGGACACTGCTCTCGAATTTTCTGCAATGAAGGGACTTCCTGGTCCATATATGTATGGTTACCCCGAGGGTTGGTTTTGGCTACCTTTCTAACGATGGTAAAGCAAATCATTCCTTGATGCGCTTGGTCATGAAGGGCTGAACAAAATGCTTGACTCGTTCGGCGATCGATCTGCCGAAGCTGTATGCACCTTTGCGTTCTGTTCCGGCCCTGGCTCAGAACCGATACTCTTCCAAGGAAGGACTCCTGTAAGACAAGTTGAACCTGAGATATTCCTTAATTTACTAATAAAATTCGACCCAAGGGCATGATTGTTCGGCCAAGAGGCCCAACAAACTTCGGTGCGTATCTGAATCATATTGACGAGTACTATACTCATTCTATGCGCTCAGGTTGGGATCCCATTTTTGAGTACGAAGGCAAAACGTTTGCCGAAATGACGAAAGAGGACAAGGTACGGTTCTGACAATAGGAGCAACTCGACATCCCTTGCCTGTTTACTTTCCACTGACAGTCATTGCAGAATAAGATATCTCACAGGAATAAAGCTCTTGTTAAACTACAGCACTGGTTAAGTGAGGGGAATTAGTACAGATTCTTTGAAGATCGGTAAACATAAACGGAGATTTCAGATAGTGAGTGACCTCAATTATTGTCTGTCTGGTCAATCCTCCATCTTTCTACCCAACTTGAAATCCGCGCACAATTGTTGTCTACATCGTCATCTTTTTCACTATTCAACTCGACGACGATTTCTTCATCATATGCCTCGCGAGCCTCCTCGACTAGAACACCGAATATCTCTGCATCCATGTTCTCTTGCAGCTTTTCCTGTTTATAACCCCTATCACACTTAGCATTCGGGTTTGGTTTTCATGGCCGAGAAGATTTCTTGGTCCCATTTTTATCAGCGGTGGGGGGGTGTCCGATGGCAAGTACCTTGTTGAGAGACGGTCATAGAGAATTGACGTAGATGGACATCGCAAAACCACAACGAGGTCTATCCACGATTTCGGAAACAGATCACAAGCATGCCAATCGATTAAATAGCCGCCTTGTAAGACCTCCTCTTCAATAGCGTCCAAAAGCTGCGAATATTAGATTGGGTGGGTACAGTAAAGACATGGATCCAAATAAGAAGTAAAAAGTAACATTGTGAGTGTTTTGGGTTGTGGGATATCAACTCGGAAAAACAAGGTAAAAAAAAAGTAAACCAAGGTAACAAAATATGGACAACATACTTTATCCTCATCCACAACCCAGGTTTCTAACTCCTCATCGTATGACTCGAAACAACCGCGGTCTTTTGCGACCTGGTTGATAGATAAGTGCCGCAAGCCTGTGTCTTGCGCTATTTGCTCACAGTGGACAGTCTTCCCTACTCCGGGAGTCCCTGTTATGATCACATTTGGAGACGTGCGCATACTGATTCCAACACAGATATTGCTGGCAAAACGCTGGTCAGGGTATTTGCTTGTGAAACTGATAAGGGACATAATCCACGCCGAGGGGAAATTTTCTGCGGGGGGAAATGTTGTGTCCTGAGGCAGAATCCCGGAATATCGGTATTAGGAGAACCCGAATCTGTCTCCACTACTATAGAGCACCAAAATATATATCCAGACATACCAAGTAACTGAAACACCAAGTACCAAGGTGTTGTCAAGGACTTACATATGCACACTGAAAATGCCCGTAGCCTACCTGTAAAATAGTTTGCAATGGGGCTATCACTTTTCAAGCAACAATTAGACACTACAGAGCACCTAATGAGGACAGTGGCACAATACCAAGTACAGCTGGACGATGACATAACTGTAGAAATATCACTAGTTAATTGCTTTTAGAATGTGATGAATCAGAAGGGAGTCTAATAACAGTTAGATAGGCCCGGCGAATACTTCACGGAGCCTTACTTTAGTATCTCGAACGCCTTATACCTTTGGAGGTACTTCGCTCCTCTTCTATATCCTTTCAAAATGCGAGTAGGATCAACGACTTTTTCAGATGCACTTCTTAGACGTTTCATTACACGCGATGTTTTCAACATTGGGTCGAAAACCAAAAGGTTTGCTTTACCGTTGTCTCGAACCTCAAATCCAACAATGGTCAAAGAATGGCCTGCCCACGATGAATTGAGTTAGATCGTCCAGTCATGTACTCAGAGATCAGGGGTTCGAACCATGGTGCTGGAGATAGACGGGTGGTAAGCTTGTTAAAATGACTTTATCGTCTGTCTCCATGGGATGAGGACCGCGAAAGTACGCTGCGATGGTTTTCAACAAAGCATCGTGTGCTCGAGTCTCTTTTGTATTTCCAATGCTGGATGCTTCGCACCTGATCCTCGGGTCAGCACAGCCGATTAGAATGTATACACTGACTCAAGGCTTACCGTATATCAAGACTCGAAAATAGAGCTTGTGCCTTTAAAGATCAGTAAAGAGTCGTGGGACTCGACCATCTTCTTCTTTGGTAAGCTAGCCTTACCTCAGGTGTCCCAATGAATTTTCTAGTGCCACGAATCCCTCCTGTTTCAAGTCGGCCCACGTTGTTGAATCCCAAGTCCCATGCCCGTTCAATCATATCCTGAAGCTGTAAAATGGTTGGTAAAAGCCCGGGAAAGTATTCGTGCCCTGGGCAATGGCATTCTTTGATGTATGATATCAACATCTGAATATTCCTATAGCCGCAGAAGCTCCCTTCCATCGACATCTTAGACACGTGGTAGACATTGGGATTGCAAAGAAAAGCACGTCCGACTGACTTATCCTGCCTGCATAGTCGAGCAAGCACTGGAACGATACCGGGAGTCTCATTTTCAACGGATTCATACTTATGAAGAGTGCCATCTGGCGCGATTCTATTTGAACGTGTTCGCTTGGCACCCCTTTCGAGCAATTTTCGAAGCCAGGAAGGCATCTGCTTCTCATTGGCATAGGGCCCTAGTTCTGAACGCTGCAGCATGGATCAGTACCGGAGAAACCAGAACAGCAACGAGAGAGGCTCAATACTTTAAGCTTTTTCACGCGCCCAGAGGGTATATTTTCCAAGGCAGCTGCTGACGGAGGTCAGTAACATGGCCCCTCTCCATGCTTCTGTGACTTATGATATAGACAGACCATTTCTATCCGAATTATTGTTGATTGCATTTGGCAGACCCTTGGCAGACCCTTTGGATCTATGTTCACCAGACGCTCCAGGGTCCTGGATACGAGCAGTTTGATCTGGCAATAGTCCCATGTGAGAAGACATGTCTCTAGGAACACTGTCTTCTGCGTGATCTAGTTTAAAGTAAGGACAAGATTACCGGTTGTCGACAACTTCCCACAAGCAAATAGGCGGTCCGCAGATTGTATCTTACCGTATAATGCGGTCGAGTTCGTTACTCTGGTATGATCAGGATGGCAATATTCGACATGATCGATGATGAAGTTTTCGTCAGAGTCTGTAAAAGGACATATCGGGCACCCCAGCATGGGGATGTCGGTGTTTTGATGATCCATGGTAAACAAGCAAACGAAGAAGGTTGGAAATCTTATCGGTTTCAAGCGCAAGATGAGGACCGACAGTCCCGCTAATCAAGAAACAGTACGAACTTAACTGAGGTTATCAAGTGATAATTAGAACTGACCGGATTTTTCTTTTCTTTTTGAAAAGGGAACGGTCTAATTGTTAAGCAGACTGTGGGGAAAGACAAGAGAAAAAGGAGCATGATGCTACTGCTATACGCTAGCTAATGGTGTATATCCAAAGATCGGGTGGGGTACTTGGTATCAGAGTGGTACCTAATCAATCCGATTGAATTTGATATGCTAGATGGGTATTGTTTGCCTGTAATACGGTGGATATGTTTCTATGTCCTTTGAGAGTATTGAATAATATCTGATATTATGATTATGATTATTACAATGATTGTCCGCCCCTCGAGCATCTGATAGAGTTATCCAGTGATTGTAGTTCAGCGTGGTTCAATTGATATATGATAGCATTCTATATGGCAGGATTGCGGATCCTGGCCGTAAGCTTTCATGTGATTACGCGATTGAATTATCAGATTCAGATTCAAAGTCTTGGTGAATTATACTCTGTAGTACATATTCCCATACATTGAAGGTTCAAACCCAAGGGCTAACAGGCTTGGAATTTGAATTCCGACGGTGTATCATGGGAGAAATTGAGGCAACAAACCATAAAAGTGCACGGGCTGGTGTTATTACCAGGTTCGAGGTCCGGGCGGGCACTAAGCCAGGTCAGTCAGTTAATCACCATCTACTTGGATACTCCCGTATAGTACTATATAGACGGGGCCCAATGCTGGTCCTCCGTACTCGGGCCTGAATGGTGCTGTCACGTGCCACGCCCGAAGAAATGCCGACAATAGAGTACCCTTGCACCTACCTAGTCTAGCAAAGTGAAATAAGCCATTATAAGGGCTTTACCTGTAGTTTATTAATAGTAAATCTACTCCGTACTGTTCATGCATACTACTTGTTTCACGTGGGAGATTATATTAGCTCAAAGCGCATGGAGGGGTGTATACAGATACTTGATTTTTGATTTTAATATAGCGATTCCTTGCAGTTACAATAATGTTGATCACAAGCGAAGGTATGTACCTACCTATTATCTAGGTCTAACTCCGATATCAGCCCCGACGCCATTCGCAAAAAGGGAAGGCGGAAAGAAAAAGAAAAAAAAAAAAAAAAAAACGGACGCCGCAAAGGTATGACTCTTGTCTCCGCTTTCGCAACCCCACTGGTCCGCATAAAAGACTATCCTGCTCCAAAACCAACTACAGGGTCATGATTACCATTTGACAAGCAAGGTTCAACACAGCGGCCAAAATTTCCAAATGATGGATGGACCATTAAATCCCGGCTCGCATGCGATGCCTATTGTCAATGGTGCTCCCATTAGCCCCTCCTCCTCCGGGAATTGGGTTGTGCAGAAGTTTGGCGGTACTAGTGTCGGAAAGTTTGCCTTCAACATTATTGACCAAGTTGTCATGTAAGTTTTTGGACAAGATCTTACCAGCAGCATTGCACACCGAGTACGGACTCTCATCTATTCTTTGTTGAAGACCCAGTCTATCTGAACACAATGTGGCCGTCGTATGTTCTGCAAGAAGCAGTTCTACTAAAGCCGAAGGCACCACAAATCGGTGAGTCATTTATCTTTCTAGTGACACTTCATTATCTCTCCCTTCCTCTCAACTTCCCCACCACTCTATTGAAAATGGCACGTTCTCATCACTATGTTTTGTTCTTCATCTAATGCGCGATCTTGTACAGGTTACTCCGAGCGGCACGGGACGCAGAGAATACACAGTCGCATTATATTTCCTTCGTTGAAGCCGTTCGCTCGGAACACATCGAAGTCGTCGAGACCCAGGTTCAGTCTCAAGAGATCAGAAGTCGGTTGGTCGCGGAGATCAATGGAGACTGTGACAGAGTCCTTAAAGTTTTAGAGGCTGCTCAGACCCTTGGAGAAATCAGTGCGCGCTGTGTGGATAAAGTGATCAGCACAGGGGAGAAGCTAAGTTGCCGGCTCATGGCTGCCTTTTTACAAGATCGTGGAGTAGATTCGCAGTTCGTGGATTTGACCGAGGTTATCGATTTCCCCATCTCAAGTCAAGGTTTGGACCAAAGCTTCTATGACCATCTGTCCAATTCTCTCGCCAGGGAAATCCGGGCCTGTCACGGCAAGGTTCCTGTCGTGACCGGTTATTTTGGAACTGTGCCTGGTGGCCTTCTCGACAAAATTGGGCGTGGCTACACGGATCTTTGTGCTGCACTGGTTGCGGTAGGGGTCCGTGCCAAAGAACTACAAGTGTGGAAGGAGGTTGATGGGATTTTCACTGCGGATCCGCGAAAGGTGCCGACGGCACGCCTTCTACCTGCAATCACTCCCTCCGAGGCCGCGGAGTTGACTTTCTATGGTTCCGAAGTCATCCACCCTTTCACCATGGAGCAGGTCATTCGTGCCAGGATCCCCATCCGCATTAAAAATGTCATGAACCCAAAGGGAGACGGCACAGTGATATACCCGGATTCCCCCGATGAACTTGAGAGAACCACCCCGGGTCACGATCCACGATTGTTCCGTACCCGAAGCCCCAGCTTTATGCAAAGACCGAAGCGCCCCACCGCTGTAACGATCAAGCACAAGATCTTGGTGATCAATGTGCACTCAAATAAACGCTCCTTGTCACACGGGTTTTTCGCTGGTATATTCTCCGTGCTTGACCGCTGGAGACTCTCTATCGATCTTATCTCTACGAGCGAGGTACATATCTCAATGGCGCTTCACTCGGAAGTCCCTCTTCTAAACGGGACCGGCAGAGACGATGTGGTGATCATCGATGATGATCTTAAGGGGGCCTTGCACGACCTTCAGAGATACGGCACCGTGGACATCATCCCGAACATGGCCATCCTCAGCCTTGTTGGAAAGCAAATGAAGAATATGATTGGAGTCGCCGGGAGAATGTTCTCGACTCTCGGTGAAAGCAACGTTAATATAGAAATGATCTCTCAAGGTAAGTGTTGGCGCTCCTCACTAGCTGGCCCCTTCGTTCTAACTCTGTTTACAGGCGCGAGTGAGATCAACATATCATGTGTCATCGAAGAGAGAGACGCAGACCGCGCATTAAATATAATACACACGAACATGTTCACTTTCTTAGATTAAAGGCATGTCGTTTTCTTTTGCTAGCCTTTTCGTTTCCTGCATTCGACACCCCTTGTTGGCATGCACCGCACAGCTTTATAGAATTAGCGAAACCTTGATCATATCCTACCATATCCGAGCCAAATTCATGTCATGTCAGAGATGTTAGTGCTGGGATCTTTTGCTCTGTGAGCGCATCAACCTTCAGTTTTGTTATACGATGGGGTTGGAAACGGCACCCGCTGTCTGCTTATTTCCTTGCGATATTTGTGTCCCCCACATGTTCCGGGTATTCTGCGAGCCCCCCTCATCGGGGTGCTTGTGAATGCACCAATTTCACATTTCTATGTTTCCATTACACGGCGTTTTCGAGTTTCAAACAGACACGGTAGGGGCTCAGAATAGAATAGAATAGAACCGAATACTCTCATTACCCTGGAAGAATCCATTGAAATCCACTAGATATGCCTATTACTAGTTGCCGGCAGATTAAGTCGTAGATACCTCATGAATGGAGGGTAGTCGCCCCCCTTTATATCAGAGGTGAGATGGTACAAGACCCGGTGAGGAGTTGTTATCCTCCCGCCGTATTCCCCCAAGGGATAATATCCTTTTTAACCCGGGTATCGACGTGAGAGCCACGCGGAGTCTCCTGTAGATCCTACGGATGCAACGCGAGCAAAAAGCCCTAATATCGAGTTGACATGGAGAATAGTACAATCCATGTCCACCACACGAGTCCTTATACAGAAGACCGTGCGTGACACATGGGGATCAAGGTGTTGGAGCCAAAAAAAAAAAAAAAAAAAAAAGCTATTTGACAACTTCGGTTGACGATTGTTCGCCCTTGCTCATGTAGGTACGAAAGGCGACATAGACATTTACGTATGCAGGGTCAAGGCACCTCAGGTCGGCGCATGTCGAAATGACCCGCCACAACTCCTGACCAAATATTGTCTCAGCCGTGTTCCTTGCCCCCCGAGTTCTTCTAGGGAATAGATCCAATAATCGGGTCCACAAGAACGTTACCCCTCCCTTCTTGTTCGAACCTTTTTTTATTCCATTCTGCCCCGTTGTGAGCGATCCTACATACGTAGGTACGTCCATAATAGGTAGCCTGGTATCCGGAGGGGCGACCTAGACTCCCACATGCCGGTTGGCGCCCATTTGATCGGGACCCTCCTATGATCTGCCGAGATCGTCTGCTGATTGGAGCCCCGGTGGATCACTGGATCGAGTAAGGAGTTAAGCCTGAAGGGGTTTAGCTTCGATTACACGGGGCTAACTGGTTGCAGCCGAAACTTGCTGTATTGTCACCGATGACAATACCTTCCTGCAGAACACCTGCCCCTGCCGCGGGGAATTGGCGAGGATTGGCGGGAGTGACGCGTGACGCGACGCTGGAGGAACCATACCATACAGACACACGAGATCGCGACGGGGCATCAACAGAGCCCATTCAAGGCACCTTCCTCCCCCCATTCCACTTCCATGATTGAATTGCGACGAGTGAACTACTTTCCTGCCTAGTATTCGCCCGAAGTATCCCGCTTGCGCGCCCCCACCTTGCTTGGGATTAGCCTTTGATTGCCAGCGAAGGGATTGAATCTTGGAGCCATCCAGTCATTCCAATTTATGAACCTCGTTTCCCATTCCCTCGATACATATCTTCCTCCCTCTTTCCCCAACCTCTTTCTCTTTTCGCCTTTGGTAGTCCACCTGTTTGCGCGCTGACCCGCTCCACTGATCACACCAAACCCTCTTGACCATCTTCTTCCAGCCTACGGAGGACGGTCGATGCGATTGATTCGCTGACTCAAGACTGACCCTTCGACGATTGACGGGAAATCCTTTTGGTTGTCTCCTCTTTTTTTATTTTTTATTTTTCTAACCCTCTATTTTTTATTTGCCCTGGTGTGCCGCCAGGTCCATGTACTGCTTGGGCCCACCGTCTCCATGCACATTTAGTAGCGCCTTGTGGCCTGATCTTTAAATCTCTTACGGACTGAGGTAGCCTTGTGTGCCTTGGTCTTTTTGGAACAAAATCGCTTCTATCGTCACACCTGCCGGTCCCAGGCATCTCGTTTACCCTCGCCATCTTAACCTCGTTCGACACTAGGTGCTTGCGCCCTGCCATCGTCTCTCGCCTGGACTAGAGAAGGAGCCCTGTCTAATAGACGCGCCGGGTATCGTCAGCTAGCATCTATCGACTTCTGGCCAGTGGCATCGTCGGTACGACGCGTTCTGCGTCAAAGGTCTATACAATGGCCAGGCCACTGTCTCCTTCGAATAAGCAACTTCGCGGGCCGCGTTCTCGCCTGGATCCGTCACCACTGTCCCCCAAGCCCGCCGAAAAAGTCGCAAGCCAAGATTGCGTTTTGAATCCGCCCTCTGGTGGGTCGCACAAGCCGTCGCCAACTAAAGCACCTCGTACCTCGAAGGCATCGCTTTCTTCGGGAAGAGATCTAGGAACGGTGTCGATAACTGCCCCTACCCCCCAAGCCTTCACCACGGACTCCCCCGCAAAGAAGACCCCTTACAACACATATTTGCATGCTCCTCCCACGTCACCCATGCCGCATTCGGCCCTATTCACCACGTTCCCCAGCGTCAACCCGGCGAAACAGTTCTCTAGAGACCAGCAGCCGGGGGACGAACCCCCGAGCGACAACTTTGCCGATTTCCCTGAACCCTTCGCGTCCAGGTCGTCCCTGAAGAGGTCCTTGATGGAGGCGGCGCCACTCAAAGAACGACCAACCAAGAAGCCGAAGCGCGAGGATCTTAGCTTAGTCCCTCTCCCGGAGCCACACGAGATGCCGCCAATAGAGGACGATGGCACCAAACCCCCGTACAGCTATGCAACCTTGATTGGCATGTCGATCCTGCGTGCAACCAATAGACGCTTGACCCTGGCGCAAATATACAAATGGATCTCGGATACATTCTCGTACTATAAAAACAGCGACCCGGGCTGGCAAAATAGCATTCGTCACAATCTCAGCCTGAACAAAGCATTCGTCAAACAGGAGCGCCCAAAAGACGACCCGGGTAAAGGCAATTACTGGATCATCGAGCCCGGGATGGAAGCACAGTTTCTGAAGGACAGACCTTTGCGCCGGGCAACCATGTCCAGCCTTCCCCTTCCCGCGGCTCCCCAAAAAGAGACAGCAGCCCCGCCAAACTCCAGTACCACCACCTGGGCTGTCGCACCGTCCACCAACCCCTCGGCGCTGACGTCGATGAAAAACGTGGACCTGTCTTCGGATGCGACTCTGCCTGCCTCCGACCCTGCTCTCCAGGAGGATGTAGGTGACGAGGGCGTCAATGTCACGGTGGCGCAGCAACCCCTTCCACCGCGCTCTTCCCCACCGCAGCCAATCCACTCTTCACCCCCGGTCGTGCCGCCCCGATTCGTTCGCCAGGGAACTCCGCCTACCCCCTCCCAGACTGTCGCCTCCGGGGTCGTCCCCCGCGGCAAGAGTCGAAAGTCGACTGCGATGAATGATAGTGGGTATTTCTCGTCATTGGAATCTTCGGCGATGCGGCCCAACAAGACAGGGCATATATTGACCTCGGATTTGGATATCGAGCCGCCGCGCATCAAGCGTGGTCGAGCTGAGGAGGAGATTGCACGCATCCGAAGTTCTTCCCATGATATCAGCCCCAGTCATTCCGGAGTCCTCCGGGACGCTGGTCTGATCGTTGGATCCTCTCCTCTCCGCGGTGAATATGTTAGTATGCTACCGCCGCCCATAACGCCCGTGATCAAGTTCAAAAAGCCCTTGAAGCCACCACCGTCTGTGTCACCCAACACCAATCTGAGGAACCATCGCAAAAGGATCCAGCAGATGGTCAACTCGCCAATCAAACATCTGGGACTGACCGACGAGGATCTCCCGTGGAGCCCAGCGTTCAATATCCAGGATGAAGCATGCACGCCCAATGACAATCTTCATACGAACTTCGACGTTTTCGCAGATACTGCTGTCGAGAACATTTCCACCTCAGCATATGGCTCGCCCGAAAAACGCTCTGCCAAGCGTAATCGAACTGATGCGGGTGCAGCCCACAACAGCGCCCTCACGGACATCACCGCCGTGGGTGCCAACAATAGAACAAGCCTACATCCCCTATCCTCTCAAAAAGCAAAGGGATTGCTATTCCCCGAATCTCCGTCCAAAGTGCCCGACAATGCGCGCTTCATTGACGCCACTCATGACGACTTCTTTTCATTCCATCTCTTTGACGAAAGCCCCGGCGAGGTCGATGGTGTTGACCTCTTGCAGGGGTTCCAAAAGATCGGAGGCGCCAGCAAAGATGGTCTGTCTCGATCAAAACCGCACGCTGCCAGACCACAGCTCAATCATCGAAGCAATACATCCTTGTTTTGAGCTGTCCCCTCCGATGATCCCGAGAAACGAGACGCGAATCAACCATCTCCGTACAAAGACAGAATGCCGGCAATTGTGGCGTCGAAACTCTTATGATGCCACTCTACAATTGTTTGATGATGCCAACTAATGTTTCTCCTGGCGTACCTTGAGTTTTGAAACTGGTGTTTTTTTTTTTTTTTTTTGTTCTTTCTTCCTTTCCCGCATGGTTCTATTGCTGTTGGTGCTGATTTACTTTAACATGGGGGCACTGAATTTCCGGAGTTTTGGGCTAAGGTCTGGTGTTGGCTTGACTTTGGGCCTGGGACGACCTTTCATGACTTCCATGACGACATTTGCTAAGATGTACATGAGATGCAATTTCTTTTAACGAGCGTTGAATATTTTTTTTGTTCTTCCCACATTCCCTCCTTTCAAACGCGCAGTTTTAAATATTTTAGTTCGCAATTTTGTCTAATTTGACCCTGGCCAGCCATGATCGTCTCTTGATATCCAACTTAGATACAACAAGTCATTGCGTAAGCATTTCATCTCATTCGTGAGGTACTTTGATGGGTATAGAATTACCGCCCGAGGTCACTGTTAGTAATAGACAAAGGCCGAAATCAAAGGGCAGCTTCTGCATGGTTCCTAGAAAGGGCGGCAAGCAAGGGAGGTAGGTAGTCGGTGGGGGGGAAGGGAGAGTGGGTGGGATATTGATGCAAGAAATTTCGAATCATTTAACCAGAACGCCGCCATCCTGCAAGCAAAATTAAACCAAACCAAGAACTACTAACGCCTATCGTACCAAGTGTTTCACTTCGACACACCCCCGTCCGCCCTTTTTCCGTGCCGGATCAGCAAAACCTACATAAGGCTAATCGCTGCTCGCACACCCTCGACATCCACAACTCACGCACTGTATCATTTGGTCTTCTTTGAGCTGGGCTTTCGGGACCCGGCAGATGCACGTCGCGTTGAAATTCGTTTCCTTGGGCTGGATGCAACGGAGGCAGCAAAGCTATAATAAAACATGTCAGTATAATGCTTACTTTAAACCTCTGAAGGAAGATGTTTGCAGAAAGCGGGGAGTAGTAAGTAATATACCTTCTCATAACCCTGTTTCTTCCACTTGGCGATCAGGCTCGCATCGGCGTAGTTATTCTTCAGAAGCCAGTCGTACAGCGGTCGCGATATAGCTCCCTTTTCGTAGTATAGGTCGTAAATGTATCTGCTGCCTGTTGTAGAGTTTTAAGTCAGCCACTGTCGTGCCAGAGGACCGCTGCGGGGGAGACAGATTGCTTACGCTGATGACTGATCTGGAAGATAGACCACAGCATCTCATGCTTCTTCTGCCCGTCGTGGGGCGCGTTTTCGGCGTCTTTCATCTTGTTGCTGAATTCGAGAAGCGTGTCTTCGATGTCGTCGAAACCTGGAGGTGGTGCTTTGCGATTGCGCGAGGTTCGTATCGGAGGCATGATGGCTGGTTATTGAGTGGGTTGATGGAGGCTAGCGGGTAATGAGATTCTATCCTGTCCAGGTGGTGACAAGTGGTAGTTTCGATGCAAGTATCGGGCTCGGAATCCTGGCGCTGTGCTGAAGATGTTGAAACAAGCACGGTTGACTTCATGATTGCAGGCGGGACAGTTCGTACAAACCTTGGGGTTATCTTTTTGTGCCGCGATATACCGCCTTCCCCATTATACGGACCGTCCTTGACTTTTGCTCGACATGCATAGGTAATGGTGTTCACCACCATACTCCCTCATTAATATCACTTGTTTCTACTTCCCCGGATTCCACGGAGAGCTATTTCAGTCAAAAAACCTTCTTCGAAATTCAATCGGAACTTCACATATCACCGCCATCATGGATCCCCAGCAGCAAGTCGACATCTCCAAGCTCAGCGATGCGGACAAGAAGGAACTGAACCAGTTCTTGACGAGCGCAGCTCAAAAATCCCAAATCCAGCAGAGTGAGCTTCCCTTTTCCCCGTCCTTGTCTACTCAATCTACATTCGCTGACTCGTTGGATTCAGCCGTCCACCACCTGTCTGATGTGTGTTGGAAGAAGTGCATCAGCGGAAAGATTTCATCGGGCCGTCTGGATTCGTCGGAGGAGACTTGCGCGACGAACTGTGTTGAGCGGTGGATGGATACGAACCTCTCTGTCTTGAAACATCTGGAGCAGCTCCGTGGGAACTGAGTTGGATTGTTTATCTTGGGGGTTGTGTGGACTGCATTGGTTTCAGAAGATTACCCGGGATGGCTCTGTAGAGCGCACCGGGCGGGTCAGATTGTATGAATAGCAATTACAAAGTTTTCTGTTGGATGATACTTCTCTGCATTTGGTTGAATTGTATTGCATTGCAGGTGGTGTGGCTGTTCTTTGTTCTGCTTATTGTGATTACTGTTGCTACTACTATTTGAATAATGACTACTCGATATATCGGGATCAAAATTTTGAGCTTTCAGGTGCTACCCTACTAGCCATTACAACAACTACACATCCTTACAAGCAAGCACCTTCAAATGCATGCGTTGGTGGGATTGATTTTTTGTTGAATTTATAGTCATTCAGCCCTCGTTGCAAAACCGGCAGTTGGTAACATAATTTTTATTGACCACCGTGCAGAATTGAAAAACAGATGTTCGCCCAAACCCAATAAATCCTTTTAGACAATGGCCAGCTTAGTGGCGGCAATGTCCAGAGCATCCACATCGGGGGTTAGGCGGGCGAAGGCCTTCTTGGAGCCATCAGGTCTGCAATGCTTGTTAGAATTTTTGCCATCCCAAACTTTGTCGGAACTGGTGAACTAGTCACGCCGGAACTTCATACCTGACGAGGGTGTTGACCTTGACGGTCTCGACATCGTACAGCTTCTTGAGGGCCTGCTTGATCTGGCGCTTGTTCGACTTGACGTCCACGATGAAGACCAGGGTGTTGTTCTCCTCGATCTTCTTCATGGCACTCTCGGTGTTGAGAGGGTACAGGATGACCTTGTTGGAGTCGAGACGAGTACCGTGGGGGATGGAGGTACGCGGGTACTTGGGCGACCGAGAGAGCTGAAGGGTCTTGGGGCGGTGGAAGGTGGTCGAGGTGCGGACCTTGCGAGACTTGTGTGCCTAGATGGGGATTCCGATTAGAATTGTTCATGCATTTCAAGGGAGATCGGGTCAACATACGCCTGCACCCTTCAAGACTGCCTTGGCGGCAGCGCCAGCCTTGTCGCTGGGCTTCGTCTTGCCTATATCGATAACAAATTAGAACTTGTGGCAAACCAGAGAGCAACCCAATTATTGCGTCCAAATAGAATCCGCCCAGAATGCAAGTTTGAAAGCCAAAATGAAACAGGTTCTGGTCGTAACGATTCCATGCCTATATCTGCAACGATGCTGATCCGCGTGCTGGAGCGAGCAATCCTGAGGCAGAGCACTGCAATAGTACCATTTTCACACCCCTCATCTTTGTGTCGGAATGTCGCGAAACGCTCAAACTCGCACTCTGGGATCTCGGAAATTTGGACACGCAATGGGAAGAACGAGGGCATTCAAATGCGACCTACCTTGCTTGTTATCCGCCTTAGGGGCCATGGCTGTCGTCCGGCGCTGTCGTGATGATTGTCGCAGTGTCGAAAGACTGGTGATTTGGGATGCCTTCGCTTAATGAAAACCCTACGGTCTATTCTGTGGGTCACCTGACCTACCGCCTTGCCTTCCCCGAGTCACGGGTTCTTCGACCATCCCTGTTGCGGATTAGCGAGTCTGTTGATTACTAAGGAATGTTCTAATCAATTTAACGATGCCTGCGGCTAGTTAACTAATCCAGCAGTACAGAGTAGATCGGACTATTCATGCTTTGTGGTACCTGCTTTGTACTTGATAATGGAATACTACTTAGTACTGGGCAATTTCTGACTGGTATTCTCCAGTGAAAAAAGAAAAAAAAAATATTATATAAGATTTTTTTTTCTCAATGCTGCTCATTGCACGATGGTGAGGTTGCAGGTCATTGTGGTATAGATAGACTACCGGCCTGGGCTCTCATCATTTTCCCTCCGCAGTTACTGATCCGAACAAATCCCAGTTCGCCACCATCCACTGGTCAAGACACAATTACGCTGAGAACATTCCGAGACAAGAGGCCTTGCGAATAGCGATTGGACTATGGGTTTAAAAAAGAACAAGGTCCGAAAGCCTATGCTGCTTTCCCACACCCGTCCACCGACAGCAAAAACCAACCGTGCCGCATTGTCATCAAAAGCCACCCGAAATTTGATCCGCACACACCATCGCCTCCTCAAAAGGCGCGAACAAGCCCAACAGGCCGGCGATCAGATTGTGGTGGCCAAGCTTGATGCAGAAATCAAGGACAATGGTGGGTTGGAAAGCTATCAGTTAGCCAGCAAACTTGGTCAATCTATGGAACGTGGGGGGGACTCTAGCAAAGTTCTGGTTGACTGGATTAGTCCCAAATTGCGTGAATTGGCCGACATGAAGTTAAAATTTCGAGTCCTCGAAGTGGGCGCACTGAGCACCAAGAATGCTTGCTCCATCAACCCACAATTGGATGTCACAAGGATCGATCTCAACTCCCAAGAGCCCGGGATTTTGAAGCAGGACTTCATGGAGAGACCACTTCCTGTTGATGATTCCGACCGCTTCCACATAATAAGCCTCTCGTTGGTCTTGAATTATGTGTCAAGCCCTCTCTGTAGGGGGGAGATGTTGAAACGTTGTGTCGCCTTCTTGACGAAATCACCTCCATCAAATGCATCGATAACTGTGACACCCAGCTTATTCCTGGTGCTGCCACTTGCCTGCGTTGATAATTCAAGGTATCTCACAGAGAGCAGACTGAATGATATATTCTCCACGCTGGGATTCGTGTTGGTCAACACAAAGAAGACCTCAAAGTTGATATTCCAACTTTGGGAACATTGCCATGACAGCAAGCCACGATCTTACAAGAAAGAAATGTTGAACCCTGGGACAACGAGAAATAATTTCGCCATTGTCACCAAGTGATTAATGGCGTGGTGGACAAAAGACACCGGATCGAGTGCGCAGGCTTTTCCTTCGCGCGATCGTTTCCCGCCGCAAAGCTACTCAGGTAGTTTCCAATCCACCCTGACATACGGTTGGGATCCCTATTCCCACACCACGTTGGATTGAGCTCTGTTGCAGCCACCTAGGAATAGGGCACGTGGACGTATGATGTCAACAGTGGAGGGGAAAGCGGGATCCATTGACGCTGTGGATTTGGGAGCGGACTGGCGGTGGAGGATGACCGCCAGGGATTCTTTGCGAGCGGTCATAGCATATGGGATGTTTTTTTTTTTAGGTGTTTGGCCAGCGTGTTTTGGGGAATTTATGAAACGGTTGAATTGAAGGATATATCAAGAATTTACCCAAACCTTCATTCTGTAATGACGAGAGAGTGCTGGCGAGGTACTCTACGGTTGCGATAGACATCAGAAATGATTATGAAAGACTGCATTGTATTAATTCCTGGTTTTTGGCTGTAAGGCCATGAGGGGTCTGCTCTGGTTTCCACGCAGACAAAACCATAGGTGAACAAAACCTTCTTTTGGCACAAAGTCAAACAAGTCGCCGGTTTCTCGGGCCTATCTATACCGATTAGTATATCAAACCACCTGGAATTTGAGTACAAAGTCGTCGAAGTGGCAACTATCGGGCTTTTTCTTTACTGTTCCAGCCAACCTACCCCGTGGTAGTCTAAAATGCCTGCCATCCACTACAGAATAGGGCATCAGAGCCACTCCCAAACAACATTTGCTGAGTAAGTCACTTTCAGGCTTGTATCTTCACACAAGTTGACGGAGAAGAGACTCCATAAAAGAGCTTGACTTATCTCGCCTATTGGCCTGGGGGATAGGATTTCTACTCTGGAACATTGATTCATCTGGCTTGAATAATAATTGGTCCGCGACTGGGGGAAGCTACGGTATTGATAGCGCCAACACTGTGTCCGCATTGCGACGTGACGAACCCCACTTGTTAAGGTAACTTGAGGTGCAAGACCTCTACAACAGCCCAAGTATGCGTACTGGAATTATAGTTTAGTAGATATAGTAGCGGTGGCATGATCTTCAAGTTATAATAATAATACATCGAACCGTTCCTGTGCCTGAATCACACAGTACTATACGAAGTATAAACTCTTGTGCGGGAAATACAAAGGCTTATGTCATCCAAAACAGGCGATTGCCGACCCATTCTTCCTTTTTTTGTCACTGACCCCCCCCCTCCCCCACGATGCCTGATTGAAAATTGCTTAAACAACACCCCGCTGGATTCGGACGGCAAATCGACTTGATTCGAGGTACGTGGGTTTTGCAGCTCAGCTTAGCAGTCTTTTTCCCCCCTCGGTTCTTGGATCCTTTTACCCCTTCTTTGTCTTCTTCCTTACATAATTTCATCCCCACTACTGGATATTTCTATCGCGACGCCAAGTTTCTTATAACACTACGAAGCTGACAACTGTGCAAACCCCAGCGCCGGCAATCTTTACTTGAATTTTCTTGGTCGGACAACTCCAGTTGCCTCGCCCAACATGAGCGCGGCTCAGCCGAACGAAGCGGAGAAGAACATCGAGATCTGGAAGGTCAAGAAGCTGATCAAGCGGCTTGAAGCGGCCAGAGGAAATGGAACCTCCATGATCTCTCTCATCATCCGTAAGCTTTCTCTGCCATCCAAGCCCGGCCGGAATATGTGGCTAATCCAGCCTTTGGACAGCCCCCAAGGATCAGATTTCTCGAGCGGCAAAGATGTTGGCTGAAGAGTTTGTATGTTTGCAACCACTGAGTTTCTGTCGGAGCGTCGCTTACCAGGGTCCCGGCCATAGGGTACTGCCTCCAACATCAAATCCCGTGTCAATCGGCTTTCGGTTCTCTCGGCCATCACGTCCACACAACAACGTCTGAAGTTGTACAACAAGGTTCCCCCGAACGGCTTGGTCGTCTACTGTGGTGAAATCATTACGTCCGAAGGAAAGGAACGTAAGATCAACATCGACTTCGAACCGTTCAAGCCTATCAACACGTCGCTTTACCTTTGTGACAACAAGTTCCACACGGAAGCGCTAAGTGAGCTTCTGGAATCCGACCAGAAATTCGGGTTTATTATCATGGATGGTAATGGGGCGCTTTTCGGCACACTCAGTGGAAATACCCGAGAAATCCTTCAGAAGCTCAGCGTCGACTTGCCAAAGAAACACGGTCGTGGTGGACAGTCGGCGTTGCGTTTTGCTCGTCTCCGTGAGGAAAAGCGGCACAATTACGTCCGCAAGATCGCAGAGTTGGCGGTCCAGAATTATATCACCGCCGACAAGATCAATGTTGCGGGTTTGATTTTGGCCGGTTCTGCTGATTTCAAGAATGATTTGAACCAGTCCGATATGTTCGATGGACGATTGCAATCCAAGGTTATCAAGATTGTTGATGTTTCCTACGGTGGAGAAAACGGCTTCAACCAAGCCATTGAACTTGCTTCCGAGACACTCAGCAATGTGAAGTTTGTCCAGGAGAAGAAACTCATTGGCAAATACTTCGAGGAAATCAGTCAAGATACCGGAAAGGTTTGCTACGGTATCGAAGACACCCTGAAGGCCATGGAACTCGGTGCAGCAGAAATCTTGATTGTTTATGAGAATCTGGATGTCTCTCGATGGGTCCTGAAAGACTCCACCGGCGCTGAAGTTATTGTCCACACAACTAAGGCCCAGGAAGAAAACAGAGAATTGTTCACTGACAAGGAGACTGGCTTGGAGATGGAAGTCATTGAGCAGACATCGTTCCTTGAGTGGCTTGCCGAGTCCTACAAGGACTTTGGTGCGACTCTGGAGTTCGTTTCTGACCGGTCCAGCGAAGGTAACCAATTTGTCAAGGGTTTCGGTGGTATCGGCGCCATCCTTCGATACAAGGTCAACTTCGAACAGCTTGCCGACTACAGTGATGAGGATGAATTTTACGACGGTATGTCGCCTGGGCTATCAACTTCATTCGCATGCTAATCGGCACTTTTTATCACAGATTGACGGTTCAGCGGCCTCGCAGAGAGCGAGGATGAACGGCCAGAAGCTCCCAAGGTGGATCTTTTGACGGCTCGCCCGGTGGATCGTGAAGGCGGTTATGATGACAAAACCATGGCCCCATTGAGATTAACTGCGATCTGGCCTGGGAAGAACGCCGCGGAGCTGCACCGAGGTATGCGCTTTTCTTTCCCATCCTTCTTTTTCTAGTATCTAACCGTACGTGATTTTTAGCAGGGTCATCCAAGCTCCATACAATGCTCATTGAGGTTTCCCAGACAACCTAAGTCATCACAAGGTGTGATTTGCAAGAGGATGTAGATTTGTTGCCTGAGATCTACATCCAATTACAAAGATTGTCAAGCTCGAGACCTAAGTTGAAACCGACCTATCTTTCTTCCTCGACTCTTCGGACTGCCCCGTTGGCATTACTGTTTCTATTTGTTTCGTTCCCCTAACGCACTCATTATATAAATAAATAAAATATGAATGGATCAATTCCTCGAATAGGTGGCTTTGTGAACATCTACAGAGCAGCTTTAAAGTCCCTTACTATTCATCTGGCTCATCATTCCTTGGGCGGGGTCCATCCTGGTTGTTGATACTCTTTCCAGGCAGATTTGAGCAGCCATATCCTGCAAGGGACGTGAGAAGACGGTGCCCTTCAAACTTCTCTGCCCAAGAGTAGGGAGGCCTGTATATACTCAGGACTTCGTGAGTTGATTTGCCCAAGTCCCTAAGTATTTGCATTGTTCTGTCACTTGTCGCAACCCACACAGTATATCGGCGACAGCCCGTTGGCTTTGGTCAGTAGACGCCATATCGCATTCAACCAGAAATACATATTTCCAAGGTTTTTGTTGACTCGGCCGGGTATTGATGCTTGTAATGTTCATGCCATGCTTCTTGAAGATCAGCAATGCGTCCGCCAGTGTCCCCGGTGCTTCCTGGGGGACCATGAACGTGAACAATGATCGTTGAGTTGTTGTTGTCGCATCCGTGGTGCTGTCTTCGCCAGGAAGCCGAGCTCCACTGTCCGACTTGGCATTCCTCAAGACGAGGAAGCGTGTGGTGTTGTCGTCCTTGTCCTCGATGTTCTCTTCTAGAACGTCTAGCCCATGGTGCTCAGCAGCAAAGCGGCTAGCGATGGCAGCACTCTGTTCCCCTGTTTCCTTCGAAACGATCTCACCTGCCTTGGACGTGGACGATACGTCTTGCCTCTCAACGCCTTTACAGTACTTCTCGAGGAAGATCTCGCACTGCCCCCAGGCCTGAAGATGGGTATATAACTTGGCGATCTGGGTTTCGCCCCGCTGATAAGAAGGAAATGCGCCTTTTCGGGCCAAGAGGCAGTGGTGAACGGTCAGATAATACTCTGCGACCACCTTTACGTCGGTATAGCGATCTTCTCGGTCGATGAGCAGATCGAGGGTTTGGACGACTGATCCGTTCGTCGAATTCTCGCAAGGGATGATCGCATAGTCCGTTGTTCCGTTTTGGACAGAAGCAAAGGCATCCCCAAACGACACGTGGGGCAGTAGTGTGGCCGAAGATCCAAAATACTCAGCAGCAGCCTGTCACATCGCTGGTGTTAATCAATGACGTTCCTGACAGAGGTAAAGCAATGTATCTAACCTGATGAGAGAAGGACGCCACTGGGCCGAGGAATGCTACACTGGAAGACTCCATTGATTTGGTTGTTACTTTTCGAGGGAGGGGAGTGCCAGAGTAAAGGTGGCCCTTGCAGCCCAATTTGCTTGTCAGCTGTGGTCAGCCTCGCCAAATTTTTGCGCTCGAATGCTTGTTGATCTGCGGAGGGGGTGATCTTCAAGTAGATTAGATAGCCCAGTCAAACAAAACAAACTACCGACCCAAGGTGCCGATGTTTATGCCTTGGCCGACTGTTTGACCATCTAGGTTCCTCCATGCAAGAGTGCCAACCCATCTAATGGTGCCTGATGAAGAGGAAAGTATTTCCCCGTCTTCGCCCCGGAGGTCCAGGGGGCCCAATCTCCGTAATACGGACATATTCCTCGCTCGCTGAGCAATTACACCAGACAGTGACATCACGGCGGCTCCCCTTGGTCTTTGATTATTTACATACACAGCCATCCTACCTTCTGGACCAAACAATAAATAATCTGTTCAGGATCTCGCCATCAGTTTCAGACAATGCCGCCAGTCTTCCGTCCATCACGGCGCGACCCCGCATGCCGGAAGGACACCACATAGTTTACTTTCCTCCTCAGGTGTCTCTTTCAGAATTGCTTCCCGATGGCACAGATACGCTACACTATCCTGGCGAGCCATTCACCAGGCGTTTGTGGGCTGGTGGAAGCGTCAATTTTGTCACAGGGGGGCCTGTGCTCGATGGCAGTCGAGCTGTCTGTATCGAAACAAATCGCGACGTTACTTTGAAAGGCAAGGGAGAGGAAGAGAAGGTCATCGTGCGAATAGAGAGGAGAATCGGGAGAGTCTCAGAGGGAGAGGGTATCGAAGACGTGAGAGCACGCATGATGGAAGAGGATGAGGAGAAGCCTGGAGATTGTTCGATCATCGAGAATCGACACCTGATCTTCATGCGGGGGAAGTCCGAAGAACAGTTGAAGTTCGATCAACAAAACTTTGGGCGGAACAAGAGAATACTCAAACGTTCGTTAATCTAGCTCAACATGCCCTCTGAGATACCAGCTGATGATGCCTTTGGTCCAATGAAGCTCCCCAGGCTCCTGAATTCCGCCATCGGATCAAGCCCAACGAAGCTTTGCTGTTTCGCTTTTCGGCACTAACATTCAACGCCCATTCAATTCACCTCGATAAAACGTACACCAAAAGTGTGGAAGGCTACCGAAACCTTCTTGTACACGGTCCGCTAACTTTGGTGTTGATGCTCACGGCCGTTCGCACCCAACTTGTCGGGTGCAGTCGAATCATCAATCAAATTGACTATAGAAACATCTCCCCGCTGCATGTTGGAGAAGAACTGACGGTTTGTGGGAAGCGCAAACCTGGAAGGGACGATGGAGCCTGGGAGGTGTGGATTGAGGATAGGGAAGGCAGCCTCGCCGTTCGAGGAACTGTCCGAACGCGTGGGTTATGAAAGGCAGTCCCTCCTTTGGGTACCAGCCTCTTCAATGGTGTTGGCTGGTGCGTGGTGACCATGTGGTTTGAGGCCTACTTCTGTATAACTAGGGGATATATATCGAACTCATGCCTACCTCGATACCTTCTGCCTTTGATCGTGTACCTATCCATGTCGATTTTCATGTATTTCTCAACATGACACTAGTATTCTCTCATATTGATCATATTGCGAGAAGAGCTACAATTGTCCAAGCATTGGCATCCTCGAAAGGTAGTCGGTAATTAATTACGTACATACTCTGTACTCCGTAGAATAACATCGAAATACCCAGCTGTGTATCGGCACTCCACTAGGCATCGGAGCGGGAAAACGTGCCCCGAGCAAAAGTGGATGCCACATCTCAATTTCTCACTTTAAAAACCCTTTCGCTTCCTCCTTTCCCATTCTTCTCTTCTCCTACACATGTACCATTGTCGCGTCAGACTAACTACAGGAGCCTCAGCCTGCACTTCATAATGATTGGAGTGAGTCTTGCTTGAGTACAACCATATCATAATTGCAGTATCTTGATTGCAATACTTATTTCAAGCTATGGATCGTTTTTGGGCTGCCCCTCCTGTCACCAGGTACATCTATGTCACGAATTCCTCTTAACACTGGGATTTATTGACCGATGTTCATGGGTCTAGGACTTTGACCGCCCTTACCTTTGCACAGTCTGCTCTGGTTTATGGTGGTTTGCTGGGTGCTCATCGAGTCATTTTTCTACCGGAGTTGTTGTTCAAGCTTCCGCCTGATCTATGGAGACTTTTCTCGTCTTTCCTCCTGACCGGGCCACAGCTGTCATTCATCTTTGATCTCTACTTTTGTATGAAATTTGCTGGCTCGTCCCAACAACGGTGCTAATCCCCGGCCAGTGTTCACCTATGGCAGTGGTTTGGAAACAGATTCGCCGCGCTTCAGTTTACCGGGTGATTTCTTCACCTATGTATTCTTTGTAGCCACCGTTATCCTGGTAAGTTGCGAGCTTTGCCCCAAGGAATATTGCAAAAGAGCACCCTTGAGCATTTCCAATTGCGTACTACCTAAAGCTCCTCAATACTGTTTCCCCACATCTTTCTTTTTTGTCTATTGCTTTACCGTTCACCTCGCATTATCTGCCCGCCCGGCCTATTACTTAGTCGAAGCGGTTCCTGGAAGCGAGGAAGATTACCCCTGCAGCCCGCACAGTCCTTACACTGATCTTTCAAGGGCTGTGTGCGCTGTGGGAATGGTGGGATTGCCTTTGAGATAGCCTCCGTGACCAATTATTCACGATGGTTTTTATGGTGCCCTACATTATAGATTATACTATTACCTGTTTATTGAACCAAGATCTCATTTTTCATTTCACCTCCTTGATTTCATTTCCTTCCATTTTCCATCTCGCACTCTTAAGGTGTAGTTACAATGTCATATGCTAACTATGCATATCAGCTCACCTCAGGTTATCTGCTGAATGGTGTAATCTTCACGTCCGGTGAGCTTGCTGTGGTAATTTGCATGGCCCCCGTGCCCGTGCTGACGTCGGATAGCTTTGATACTCGCTTTTGTCTACACATTTGCCCAGGATAATCGAGGTAGAAAGACGAATTTCTACTTCTTCCAGATCCCGATGGAGATGCTACCTTGGGCTATGCTTGGGATTACCTTTGTGATGTATGGGTGGCCTGCTGCACTGCACGCGAGCACGGGAATCCTTGCTGCCCATATGTACGATTTCCTGACGCGGATTTATCCGGCATTCGGCGGTGGTCGAAACTATCTCACCACACCGGCCTTTGTGAGACGGTTCTTCTCGGCTTATGTGCCTAGAAGCGCGGATCGAGCCTATGGAACTGCATACCGACCAACAGGCCCGGCGCAAAACTCCTCACCAAGCGGTTGGACTTCGTCTTTGCAGAGTCCGTGGAGTGGCCGCGGCCCTGGGCGGAGATTGGGGGCGAATTAAATCTTGACAGATTCCACATGTAATCATCATTGTCTCGAGAACCCGGGTCTCTTTCGGAGGCGACCAGGCTGTCAGACCAGGCTGTCAAGGATGCAAAGTCATTGCATTGCAATTGCAAATTGCAATTGCAGGATGTGGATGAACAGCCAAATAATTAGTACTAAATCTACTCGCGTTATCATACCATGAAGTCAATTGCATGTTTATCGGTAGAGGTAGAAAGTTTTGTAGAACGACTCCAGCCCATTGAAGGCTCCTGCTGCTAGCAGGCAGGCAAGTCACGAGATAGGATGAACGGGGAACATTTCCACTTTCCAGCGCTAAACCATGTCGAGTATGGAGATTACATAAAATACCACCCGGGTACTCTCCGTAACAATACCCATACCATGGACCCGTAAGCAGCTGGTATTATTGCCGCCGCCGCACTTCAGCAAAAATTCTTAAACTTCTTTCTCGCTAGCGTCTCGGGAAGACCTTGGCTCTGCAGTGCAATTTTTCCTGCGACTTTTCCCAACGCGCCCACTTGCTCGGATTTTCTGCCATCCCTCAAGTCAGACTGTTCAAGTTTCCTGCAAATAGTGGCAGTCGCAATGGCGAGTGAAGCGATGGATTACACGATTAAGCCAGAGGCTGGCAACGGCAACATCCCTACCTCTGAGTGGCCGCTTTTGCTCAAGAATTATGACAAGCGTACGTTTCCATCTAGATCGAGATTTCATTCTTGCTTCTCCGAGAATCACAAGACTACATCCTTTCAGTAGCTGAAGTTGGCGACTGACTCTCTATCTTCTAGTCCTCGTCAGAACGGGTCACTTCACCCCCATCCCTGCCGGTTGCGCTCCTCTGAAGCGTGATCTGAAGTCGTATATCAACTCCGGCGTGATCAACCTGGACAAGCCGTCCAACCCGTCCAGCCATGAAGTCGTCGCTTGGATGAAGAGGATCTTGAGGTTAGTTCTTGACTGTTCATGCTCGCACTGGAGAGCTAGATACTGAGACATCGTATCTTTTTAGGGCCGAGAAAACTGGCCATAGCGGAACGCTTGATCCCAAGGTCACCGGTTGTCTGATCGTCTGCATTGACCGTGCCACTCGCCTTGTCAAGTCGCAGCAAGGTGCCGGAAAAGAATACGTTTGCGTGATCCGTCTGCATGAGAAGATCCCTGGCGGCGAGGCTCAGTTCCGCCGCGCCCTGGAGACCCTGACCGGTGCTCTGTTCCAGCGACCCCCTCTGATCTCCGCTGTCAAGCGTCAGCTCCGTATCCGCACGATCCACGAGAGCAAGCTTTACGAGTTTGACAACGAGAGACACCTTGGTGTGTTCTGGGTTAGCTGTGAGGCTGGCACGTACATCCGAACCCTTTGCGTTCATTTGGGTCTTCTGCTCGGTGTTGGTGCGCACATGCAGGAACTGCGCCGTGTACGATCTGGTGCCATGGATGAGAACCGTGGCCTGGTCACTCTGCACGACGTTTTGGATGCCCAGTGGATGTACGACAACCAGCGTGATGAGTCGTACCTCCGCACCGTTATCAGCCCGTTGGAGAGTCTCCTCACGACTTACAAGCGTATTGTCGTGAAGGACAGCGCCGTCAATGCTGTTTGCTACGGTGCCAAGCTCATGATTCCGGGTCTGCTGCGTTTCGGTACGTTTGGTCCCATTCTATATTCGGCCGGCTTGATGTGTGACTAACGTGGATTGTAGAGTCTGGCATTGATATCAACGAGGAGGTTGTGCTCATGACTACCAAGGGTGAGGCTATCGCCATCGGTATCGCCCAGATGTCGACCGTCGAGTTGACCACTTGCGACCACGGTGTTGTGGCCAAGGTCAAGCGTTGCATCATGGAGCGTGATCTCTACCCTCGCCGATGGGGTCTGGGCCCCGTGGCTTTGGAGAAGAAGAAGCTCAAGTCTGCCGGAAAGCTGGATGTAAGAAACCACAATCTCGTGAAGCCCCGTTCGGATCAAGATCAAGGCCGACTAATCATTTTACAGAAATACGGTCGTACCAACGAGGCCACCCCTGCCCAGTGGAAGTCTGACTACAAGGACTACACTGCACCGGAGGGAGAGGAAGGCGCCGCACCCCCCACCCCCGCCGCTGCCGTCCCCGAAGCCCCGTCGTCTCCTCAGGACAACATGGACGTCGACGATGACCAGGACGACAAGAAGCGCAAGAGACATGACGGCGAGACCGCAGAAGAGCGCGCCGAGCGCAAGAAGAAGAAGAAGGAGAAGAAGGAGAAGAAGGAGCGGAGAAAGTCGAAGCAGGGTAAAGAGGACAGCGATGATAGCGATTAAGCATTTCTAAGAAAGTCCTTGGTTTGCTTTGGTGTTGAAGTGTTTCGTTCCTAGTGACAACCGACGTGGTCCTCTATTTGCTATTTATGTGTTGGGAGTCTGACTTGGGCATGATATCTGTACCATACGTGCTCTTTTTCTTTTTCTTTTCTTTTTCTTTTCTTTATCGGAGTCGTGGGATGAAAAGGGAATAAACTAAATTTCTGTTATTTCAAGACCTGATTCAGAGTAATTCGAGGTTCTTTATTAAAATAATAAGAATAAAGAATAGAGTAAATGGACTAAGGCCTATGACTTTTGTCTCTGATATGGGGTTCCTTAGCAGTAGTGAGAGGATTGGACAAGGTACTGCCGTGCTCGTGACCTAGCCAAGAGGCGGCGAGGTCGATGTAGCGTCATTCCCCCCACCCACCTTCATACATTCGATCTACCAACACGCTGCTTCACGCTTTTGTCTTTATCTCATAGTCGGAGTTTATGTGGGATTTAGTTTTCAATAATTATCACTCTTTGACCTGTGACATTTAGAGGACGTTCAGGTGGACCACTTGCAACAACTCTAAAAAGCGTGTTCATCCATCATGGCTGCGGAACTGACGTCCACCAAGCTTAATGCGGAGAACCATCTCCTACTGGTAACGTCCACAGCATACGTTTGTGCCTTCAAGCTTCTAGATCTAACGAAATCGATCTGCAATAGGATCAACCCCTTCTCAAACTGCCCTATGAGCTGTCACGGAGAAACTTCAAGTCCGTCCAGCGACTTGTCGAACGCGAGAAAGATTACACTCTTCCGGCACTCAAGGACACCGCCAATGCATCACTATCTAATACTCAGACACCCGATCAGACGATCGCAGCGCTCGACGCGATGATATCTCGGATGCAGGGGCTCAAACGGAAGATGGAAGGCTTGCACCAGGAGGAGAAGAAGATACACGACCAATCGAGGAAGCGCATACACCATCTGGAATCGTTGCATCATATCCCTAGTCTGGCAGACGTGAAGTATGATCAGTGGTCGAGAGTACGGCTTGACCGACTGATAGTTGATCATATGCTACGGTCTGGTTACACGGAGAGTGCTCAGCAGCTGGCGAAAGAGAAAGACATCGAAGACCTGGTAGATCTCAACGTCTTCGTGCAGTGCCAGCGGATTGCGGAGAGTCTTCGTCGAGGAGAGACGAAGGATGCTCTGCAGTGGTGTAGTGAGAACAAAGCAGCATTAAAACGCAGCCAGGTCCGTCCATCCGTCCGTTTGATTCTCCCCTCCCATCTTCATTCACGGTTGGCGCCATCCATTGAAGACCAAAGGCAAAGGCTAACTCGCCATGTACAGTATAATTTAGAATTCGAATTGCGGCTGCAACAGTACATTGAAATCATTAGGACTGGCGATCGAACCAAATATGTTGACGCAATGAACCACGCGAAGAAGTATCTCACTCCGTACATCGACACACAATCGGCCGAAATACACCGGGCTGCAGGGCTTCTTGCCTTCCCTCGGGACACAAAGGCTGAACCTTATAAGGTATACCGCCTCATATCCGTGGAGCCTCTCAGTCCTCAGGGTTGTAAGCTGATCAACGTGACCAATATCTAGTCCTTGTATGCCCCAGAAAGATGGTCTCGGTTGTCTGAGCTCTTTGTTCGTACCCACCATGAATTGCTGTCCTTGCCATCGCGGCCGTTGCTACATATCGCCTTGTCCGCGGGGCTATCGGCTCTCAAAACACCCGCATGCCATTCGGCTTATACTTCCTCGAGTTCCAATTCATTATCTACCACGACATCCGTCTGTCCGATATGTTCCACCGAACTCAACGAGCTTTCGCGCAGTCTGCCGTACGCACACCACACGAAGAGTTATGTGGAGAATGACCCGATCGTGCTACCGAATGGCAGGGTATATGGCCAACACCGGTTGCTCGAATTGAGCAAGAAGGTTGGCTGTGTTGAAGCCGGCAAGGTTAAGGATCCTACCACTGGCGAGGTCTTCGACGAAAGCGAGATGAAGAAGGTTTATATCATGTGATGGTTCGAGTTGAACAGAAATGAATCTAGGATGTCACTTGTCACGTGTCTGGACCCTTTCTTCTGATGCTATTAACGACTCGGGTGTTTGATGAGTACCTATAACAGGTGGTATTGAGAGTCAATCGTCGTGATTATAATTTTCTAGTCCCGTAATAGACTAGTCGTCACCTTCGCTGTCAGACTCGTGCCTCGACCTCTTATTTTTCGACGCCATGTTTTGTTTCGCAATCGCAGACCGAGAACGTTTGAGAGCCTTTTCGTCCTGCTTGACCTCGAAGACATACATCCTCGCTTCTCGATCTTCGCCTCGCCACCCGCCTCTTCCTCCATTCTTCCCTTCAATCTCTCCGACGGTGCGCGCATGCGCGTACTCCTTGTACGAAGCCCAGGGAAACTTGAAACTCGTCACGACACGCAAGCCAGCATGACGGGCAAGATCTTTGACGTTCCAAAGAGTATAGGGTTCCCTTTCGAACATAGTGACGAGGATTTGGCCGGGGTCAGTCCGGAGCTTGCTTTCCGTACGGGCAGTGATGTCCTTTGCACCGGATTGGGACTGTCCATCATCCTCGTCCGACTCTTCTAGGTCACTCTCGGATTCGGACATCTCCCACTCATCATCATCTACACCCTCGCTATGCACACGGGGCGGAAGTGACAGTAAAGGCACGCAGGCTTTGAAAAACCCCACCAGGAGTTCCTGGTTCGCGCGAACCTGCCTGTTAACATCCGTCGAGATCCCACCCACATGCGGGAAGTTAAAACAAATCAGATCCCACGGACCACCACCACCACCACCACCATTAGAAGGAGCGCCCCTCTTCGCCTCGACCCAAGCAGGAAGCCTCGGCTCTTTCCGGTGATATCCTCCGCGGACATCCTTCCCACCACCGGCCGACGCACCGAGTTTCCGAGCATCAACAGAAAAGAGCACATCAGGACCATGGCGGCGTTGAGTTTGTTGCTTTTGCTTTTCGGGCTGGTCATCATTCTCCTCCGCGGTATCTCCGGAGGAGTCATTCGTTTTGGCAAACGCCGTGAGGGTATCGTTGATGTTTTGCTCGGCTTGGGGATACTTGCTGTATAATGTCTCTTTGTCGTCGTAGCAAGTGGCTAGGACGTTTTTGCAGCGGTGTTGGGTGACCAGCGCGCGAGCGAAGGAGAAGTCGCCTGTTTCTTGTGAGCTTTACATACATATAGATGCCAATGACGAGTCTATCTAGTGGCCGTGTAATAAATAGCATGCAGCGAAAGACATCGGTACTATCAATGTGCTACTCTGAAGAACACAAAAAGTGCCACAAGCATTCTTGTTCTTTCTTTTTCCCCTCTAATGCCACTCCTCTCCCTTCCTGATAGTCCCAAAAAA